AGCGCGAATGATTGTCTGTATGAATGTACTGACTCATTGGTCAGACAGAATTGGATGAGGAATATCTCGCCATCCAGAGTGAGTGGGGTGATGATGTTGGCAATGGATTGATTGCCCTTCGAGTGACGGTTCAGATGCGCCGGACGCGGTCCGTGTCTGTCAAGTCACTGCAGAGAAAGCGGTAGGTCAGATACACAGTGGTCAGACAGAATTGAGTGAGGAATATCTCACGAACCAGAGTGAGTGAGCTGATAATCTTTGAGGTGACTTGACAGTGGGCGTTCAGATGCGCTCAGCGCGGTGGTCACAGCTGCTTTGGTTGCCGAGAACGGAGCGCTGTTAGAAGGGTTCCCATTGTGAAAGAACGTGACCGAGCGAGGAGCTGCTGCTTTGTGTGTGAGAGGCTCTCACATGGGCGGTTCACATTTGCTTTTGATCATCTGGGTGGGCTGCTTCTCTGCAATTTTATGTAAGTGGGTCAACTGCCAAATGGGGGCCTGCACGTCGAGATTCTCGACATCGTCGAATGGACCCCTGGTGTATCATCCGATTTGACCCTTCACTCAAAGCGGTTAAAGTTTGCCTAGTGCGGAGAGGCTGCTTACTACCGCCTGAGCAGCCATACAGGGGGAGCCAGTCGCGGTTTGTCTTTGCCCGTCTCGTCAATGAGGGAGCGGGAGGTCGATGTGAGGTTGTGAGGGAGGGCGGCTGGCGAAGAGAACAGGTGAAGGGGGACAGAGATGGAGGGGATATGGAGGAAACAGCGCAAACTGTGGCGAATCTGCGAGAAATCTGCTGAAAAATCGCCGAATGTCAATCACTGTCTCCCGGCGAGAATTCTCGACACGGCGTTCAAAAGTCTTCCGAAAAGGCTCTGAGGTCGCAGCTGACTTCCCACCCGTCACGTCATCCCGACAAGTCAGCTGAAAGCCTCCAATGTTGCAAGGACGAAGGTGAGAGGCGGCTTGGATCGTTGCTCAATGTGAAAATGACAAATATTGTACGTATGCAGAGTGTCCAATCTCCTGAATCAAGCATGTCATCACGGGCAGGGAGGCGGCAGATAAAAAGCCACTAGAGGAGACTAGAGTAGACTAGATCGTATACAGATATCCATTGTCAAACAAAACCAAAAACGAGTCAGTGGGTGAATGGGTGGGTGTGTGGGTGGTGGTGGTAAGGAGATGAGACGGGTCTGGCTCAAAAACAAAGGCGACCAGCCTGGCTTTGGATGGCACCGGGCCCACACGATCGACACGACGCAGCACAGCTGATGACAAATGCACTAGCGCACACACCACCTCTCTGAAGAAACAAACAACGAACGATGACACACGCCATACCACTAAGAAAGCACACACGCCATCCGCCATCCATCCATCCATCGACTCCATCCTCCTCCCCCCATACCCACCCATCAACCCTCCTACGTGTGCAAATTCGCGACCTTTGCACACGACTCCCTCCCCTCCCAGATCGTTAATTCAACAAATACGCGAGTATGCCTGTGCGATATCTCTCCCCCAAGCTGCGTGCGATGGTTGGTGATCACTTGCAGTCGCCTTCGTCCCAATTGCATGCCTCCACGTTGCACACCTCATCACACTGCCCGTCGCCCAACAGAGGCGGCGAGCAGCCGGGGCAGCCCTGACACACAACAACACACAACAGCGCACACAGTCGTGTATTTCTCCCTCGTCATAAGCAGCTGTCATGCAAGGCTCACCTTGACTGCCTCGCAGTCTCCGTCGTCGAATTTGCAGGCAGCGACGTTACAGAGTGGGTCGCAGAACCCGTCCCCTCTATGCTCAGGATGGCAACCAGACGCACACAAATCGCCTGAAGCAACAACAAGAGGTAAAGTGGCTGTGAGGGGCCTTGCGTCGTGATACTGAGCTGTTCGCACCTTTGCAGTCGCCTCCGTCATTGCCGCATGCCTCTGTGTTGCACTCGGCATCGCACACACCATTGCCCAGCAGAAAAGGGCGGCACCCACCAGACAGACCTGCACATGCACACACACACAGGGGGAGATCTCAGCCTGCTGCCACCCGGCCAGCCGGCCTGCTGTCGTCCCCCAAACGCCCAACTTACACGCAGCTCTTGTTTGGATGGCATCTCTCACCCTCCCGCGCACGTTGGAGAGCCCGCCACCAGCCGCCCCCGCCCCCGCCTCCTCCTCTCTGGCCGCGTCCGGCAGCCCCAGTGTATCGCCAATGGACTGGACAATCGACGCCACTCTGCCGCCAGGCCGCTCAGCACAGTCGTCACCATCCCAGTCACACTCCTCCACTTCGCACCCAGGCTGACAGATGCCGTCGTTGATCTGCGAGTACCGACAAACGCCGTAGCAGATATCCGGCTGAAGGTTGCGCAGCATCTGGCTCGTCAGGGGATGACGGGATGAGAAGTCGGGCAGGCTCGATAAGAGGGAGGACCGCACGCGAGATGAAGCGTAGCCTGGAGGATCAGCACACAATATGCGGGGGGTCGGTCGTGTTTATTGTCCCTCCCTGCTCACCTCCGGCGATGCCCAATAGCAGCAGGAGCAGCTGTCGCCTTCTCCCTCCCTCGTACCGGGAGCGTCGTAGATCCGCACCGCCTCGGTGGCCATGACGGCTACCCGTCTGCGATGTATCTTCCATCCCAAGGAAAGAACGTTTGGTTTCAGAACGTTTGCAGTATGTACGTCAGCTCGCACAGGTTTGACGGAAGGAATACCCCAACTCGCATTCGTCGAGCCGGGGAGGTGGTGCCAAGCGGCCTCAAAGGGCAAAGGAGGCCATGTCAGCATTCGAAACGCATGACTCGTTCATCGGCACGCCAGCCCATTCAACAGACTCTCCTTGAGCAATGAGGGATGGCCGGAAGACATACCTCTTTCCACGCTCCTGATGGTGGTGCCGAAGGCAGCGAGAATTGTCCCCGTTGACCCTTCCAGCAAATCGCAAGGCAGACAAGTAGCCGAAGGTACGGCACTTTAACTTCGTCTGTGTACGAGATTCATCATGCCATATGCACGCAGGCAACGTCTGCAGCTGGTGCTGCCTTCCTGCCCGCCAGACTGCTGGCCATGACAGTGCAAGGCCGCCGGAGAAGGCGAGGAAAGTCCCCTTCCTCGAAAGATTCGACGCATTCGCATACGAGACAGCGACACACTATGAGTTGACGGTGAGGGAGGCATCTCAGGAAGACAGACAGACAGACAGACAGACAGAAAGACGTGTGTTTGAGTGCAGGAATTCAGCCATCATCCCGGCATCCGTATCGACATGGCTACATTCCCTGTCATTGTGTATCGGTAAGGGCAGGCCTGCGTAGGGTACCTCGCCTTCCTCCCGCTGCATGCAACTCTGCCTTCTTTCTTTCCGCTCAGCATTCTGCACGAAACCGCCCTGTACAATCTGTATCTCATGAAAGTCCGCAGCACACTTATGCTGGGCATGAAGTTTGCTTTTGACAAACCCCACGACAACCGAATCGCCGCTTTCTGGAACGCCGCGCCAACACCTCACATGTATGCCGGCTCGTTCGCCTCTCATTTCTCCTGTTGCACCGTCCGTCCCTTGTTCATTTCAGGCTGCGAAGCTACAAACAGATAAGGTCAGCAATGAAGCCCGAGGGCGAGACAAGCGCTGCAGACAAGAGCTCGGCGGCTAAAGAAGGGGGCGTGAGGTTTGGCAGTGCCGAGGATGACAGCTCGGTTCCACTGGAGCAGGTGCTGGCCTCAGACGCGCCCATGCCAATGGCCATTGCCAGGACAATCGACTCAGAGGTCAGCCACCAGCAAACCTACCGGCCGTTATCTCTGCGCCTCATTGTCACACCATGTCTCCGTCTTGCCAGATATATGCGGTAGCCCCCTTGCCACTGCTTGTTGCTGAAAAGCTCTTGGATGGCGCTGAGCTGGCGCGCGTGGCCGCCGTTCGCCTGTCCACTCGCGAAATAGGCGGCAGGAGAGGGACTTTCAAGCAAATGAACATCCCCTGGTACTCCCCTCATCCCCCAGACGTCCCGGAGTATCTCAAGCCAATCATGAGCACGAAAGGTGTCAAGTTTTATCAGCGGCCAACAGGTGAGCTGATGACAGGCAGAGAGAGAGGCAGGGAGCCAGGGAGGCAGGGAGGCAGGGAAGGAGACACGTCTGATCTTTCTTTCTTGTTTCTCGCAGAGGTGGAGCCGTTCAAGAGCATCGGTGCACACGACGACTTCATCAAATCATTGGATGTGCTGAAGGAGGAACGAAGGCGATCGACGGCGGAAAAAGTCAAGTCAATCCTCGCAAATGCCTTCATGCAAGCAGGAGACACCAAACCCGGCAAACCGGAAGCGCCGGCATCTCCCCCCGTTGTTTTGAAGGAGCCGGTGTTCAGAACCACCAAAAGGGAGCCGACCCTGGGAGAGAGAATCATGCAGCGCCAAGGGAGTCTGCTGCGGCCGCTGAAGAGGACGCGCACCGAGGCGCTGGGTGAAAAGAAACCCGTCAAGAAGAAGCCCTTCGACGTGATAGAGGCAGTCATGTACGGGGGCCGGAGAGGCTCAGACGCCTTCGAGAAACCGAAGTTGAGGCGCTCTTCGACGAGCCAGGCCCAGGCCATGAAAGAGGAGCCCAAGACCCTGTCAGAGGAGGAGCTGATGAAGGCCCGGAGGCAATGGATGGAATGGGCCAGGAGCAGATGAGTGTGGGTGCAGATGGTGGGGTGGGCGAGTGGGGGAGGGGTGAGGAGGGGGTTATCTGGGATGTGTCCGTCGAGAGGTAAATAAGGCTTGTGTGTCTGCTGTGTGTCCATTTGTCGAGACAGTTGTCTTGTCTTCTGTGTCTTGTGTCCTTTACAAAACACCTCGATTAATTCAACATGATCATACGCACGATCGTCTAACTCAAATCACCTAATTAACAGATGGCTGGCTGGTATTGATTCATGTTCACAGGTAGCCGAGGTACCTCGCGACGAAGCGCACCAATGAGTATAGAATGAACAGCAGAGGCAGTAGCTGCATCAGCCTGGGCATCAGCTGGCTCGACACACGCTCAGCAAACGACAGCTTGAACGCCACCCAGGGGAAGTTCTGCACTCATATGCACAACCGAAACGCGCAGCCAACCATCACACCGACCCACACGCTCTGCTCATTGGTGGTACACACCGACCTTTCCTTCAGGGTCCGCGACGACGGCCTGTCTGCCGTTCTCCTGCAGCATGACTCCCTCGTTGTCGACAATGTACAGGGCGGGAATGCCAGACGGCGTGAACCGATTGTTCAGCTGGTCGCGGCGGGCAGAATCTGAGGCGATAAGTAGCAACATACACACCTACATCAATGCCGCCGACGCCACGTGTGTCCGTCCGGTCCTGGTCATGTGCCTGCCGTGCCCACCCATGAACCTGACGCTTGTCCATGGCATCCCTGGTCGACACGGACGGCACAACACAGCGTAACACAACACACACGGGGCAGGAGATGGAAGTGCGGAGACACCTATCGTCCGTTCATTGCATCATTACCGGCAAAGTATGTCTTGAAGTCGGCCTCGCTTCTGTCGAGTGACACGAAGATGACCTCAAAGCTGCGCACCAACACGGGCACACGGCATCCCATCTGTGTCATCCACACACGTGGGGTAGTGTCTGGCGTCTGGGGCCTGACCGTTTGTCCGAGTCCTTGAGTTTCTTGTAGGTCCCTGACACACACAGACACAAAGAAGCGGCAATGCAGTGAGTGCCGGCCGAGTGAGCCATGGTCGGTCACACCCACCAATTAACATGGGTGTGAATCCCCTGCACGGCGGGCACCAATGCGCAGAGAAATACACCTGACACGAACAACGGATCACCATGCACTCAAATCATCATCTGCAGCTGCAGCGCACCCCTATTGCGTCGCATTTCGCCAGCTCTTCTACCTGAACAAAATGATCACACACCAAACCAAGGCACGTGCAATTGCATTGCAGTTCATTGTGTTTTCATCTCTCACCGGGATCTCTTCGCCAGCGGCATTGATGACGCTGGAGCCAAAGATGGACTCCAACGCCTCAGCGGAAGGCGATGCCATGGCGGGAAGATGCAGGCCGCTTGCGGCTGAAGAATCTTGCGCCTCCTCGATGCACTGGGCAGCTGCAGCAGCAGCAGAGCGGTAGCGCACTCTTCTCAGGCTCGCCTCTCGTGCGAGCTCACCTTTTTCGCTTTGTTGTGGCGAAGGAGGAGGAGGGAGGAGATTCGTAGGCCTCCTGCCACCATGTCGCAGCATCGTCGTCGTTCTTCTCGGCAGTATGTAGACCAGCAGCCGTCCGCAGCCCCAGGGGCAGTGGACAGCAACAACTGGCGCCGGCCGCCTCCTCGAGACCACACGGGCGCCCTATCGCAGTACGAGCCATCGGAGGCCAGCTCACCGGGCAGCAGCCATGTGCCAGACCCCTACTACCAGCAGGGCGGCGCCCACATGGACGAGAGGGAGGCCTATGATGATGGTGTGGGCGTGCATATGGGCGGATCTGGCCGTGCCGGGTTTGCCGGAAACAATGCCATGAGCCGAGGACCGGTAAGGAAGGAACACGGGAGCAGGGAGAGAGCCAGCTGCATACATGTGATGGATGCATGTGACATGTGTCGTATGTGACGGTGTGTGTGTGTCTCTCAGGGGAGTCATGTCCCGCCCGCCAGTGTGCCCCCGGCCAACGGGCGCCCCGTGCCCTACACCAACATGTCCTACACATACGTCCCCAGCCGCACCAGCCCGTCACCCGATATGAGCGGCAGCCCGCGCCGGTACGGGTCAACGAGTCGCCAGGTTGACCACCAGGCGGACCACCACTACCCCAACCAGTCACCGGCAAGCCACTACGCCCATCCGCACAACGACCATCGCGCCGCTCACCATCACCAGCACCATCACCACCAACAGGACAGGTGGGACACCCGATCCGACGCGCCGCCGATGCCGTATGGCGCACAGGACCAGCACGACGGGAGTGCGAGCATGTACGGCGAACATGATAACCACTACCCTCCCTCAGAGCACAGCTACCACACGGGCGGATACGACACCGGCGGCTACGCCGACGGATCGCAGTCGTATGGCGGCATGGGGCAGGGAGGTGCGTGGGGCGGGGGGGCGAATGGGTACGGTGACCGGTTTGGTGATCAGGGGGACGACGACGTGCCCGATGTGCAGTGCTTCTCTGAGAGTGAGGACGAGGGGCACCACCGCCCCGCCGCCGTGGGGCCCAGTCGAGGGCGCCAGCAGCTGTACCAGCACGAGCAGATGGCGGATGGCGGGCGCACGCGAGGAGGGGACACAAACGACGAGAGGGACTACATCATGTGAGCAGAGGGAGGAGGGACAGAGAGACAGACAGACAGACAGACAGAGAGGGTGGTTTGGTTGATTGCCGTCGTCGTGTCTTGTTGGTTGTCCTGTCCGTCTATCTGTCTCTCAGTGCCCGTCTGCAGGATGCGACGGCACGTCGAAGCCTCTTGGAGTCGCGGGTGGTGGCCCAGCTGCAGACCTGGCCCCTCGGAAAGCACGGCATCAACTGGCCGTTTGCCAGCGCCCCCAACCCCGATCAGCCAATCGCAGACGGCCCGCAGGATGACACACACCAACACCAACACCAGGAGCACCAGCACCCACATCCTCACTATGAACAGCCGCTTCCCTCGCCACACTCGCCCGACCCATCGCAGGTGCCCGCTCCATTCGCTGACGCGGCGCAGTTCCCCACCGACACCCACACCGATATGCTTCAGGGCAACAACGGGAGTGCTGCGGCTTACATGAGCCAGTTGGACGACGTGCCACCACACGCGCCCTCGTCCGAGCTGCCCGTCCCACCACAGCAGCAGCAGCCATACGAGGCAACAGGGGAGGACCAGACAGAGGGCAACACGTCCCTGTACGACGACGATCTGCTCAAAGGGAGCTTCAACGCGAGCTTGCAGCAGGCGGGCATGGGCATGGACATGGGCATGGGTCCTCCGGGCATGGGCGTAGATACGGCCATGGTTGTGGGTGGAGGGATGGGTGGGTCGTTGGGTGTGGGGGGACGGGGGCTGGGGGTGGACGTGGTGGCCCCTGCCCACCCTGCCCCTGCCCCTCCTGCTGCTGCTGCTGATCATGTCGACGAGGAGGAGTTTGTGCACAGGCCCGAGAGTCACCCTGACTGGGACCTGTTCGACCACTCCGAGGACGACACGAAGCGGCGCGAGAAGGAGGAGCGCGCCGAACGGCTGCAGCCCCTCGAATGGGTCTTCCCGGTACGTCTGTGCCTGTGACAACCATACACGCGCACACACACACACACACACAGAGAGAGAGAGAGAGAGATGAAGAGAATGGACACGTCTTTCGTTGCTGTGTGTATGGCTGCAGGGGAAGGATGCGTTGGATGCGGAGGCCTTGGCGGCTGACCCGTTTGGTGAGTTGGAGGACCCCAGTAAGCTGATAGATTCCACATACTGGACGGACATCATTGAGGAGGTGAGAGCGACCAACCAACCAACAGGCAGGGAGGGGACGTCGATCCACTTGTGGGTGTGGCGTGGCCGCCTGCCTGCCTGCCTGCACAGGACCCTCAGTACTGGTCGGAACGGCTTGTGTTCAAGGAGAACCCTGCCACGTGGCCCTACCCCATGGCAGACGTGCGCGGCCTTCAGAAAGGTGAGTCGGGGGGGACATACACCACACGCCACACACACGTCTGCCTGCATACCCATCCATCCATCCATCCATTGTGTGCGTGTGTGTGTGTGTGTAGGCTGTCAGGGGTACCACCCCAAGTTGCGTGAGGCCAGCATCGGCATCCCTGATGACGACAGCGCCGAGCACGTAGCCCAACTCTTACTCGACAACTGGGTTTTCGAAGCCAAACAGGACTCCAAGTTGGAGGTAGGAAGCACACCCGACACACGACACAAGAGGAGTCTTTCACCTTGTCTGTGTCAGCAGAAACGACGCCACGTCAAACCGGAGCCCCAGCCCCTAGACGAATCCTACAAGAACGAGCTCATGGAGAAGTTCACTCGATTCGTAGACGGCATCGAGCAGGGCCAAGACTGTACGCTCCGCACCCACCACACCCAAACATAGCCACAAAGACACGAGTCCCCACGATGGATGACTTCCTTGATGTGATTGTGATTGGTGTGATGTGTGCGCTGCAGGGAATGGTTGGGAGGTGGATTTCAAGGACATAGCGGCCCAGTTCCCAGACGACCTCCACACACGCATCAAAGCCACGTTCAAACTCTTCGGTGCGTTCTCCCACACACACATTCAATAAATATTGCCGTTGCTGACCTGACCTGCGTGCAGAGAATTTCTTTTGCGGCAACAAGATCAGCAACATCGTGCCCAAGGATGTGTGGGTCAGGTGGGTGGCCTGGAAGAGGAAGAACATCCCCAACAAGGCACAGACACACACTGCCGCAGGTACGTGACGTGCACGCACATGAGCCGACCGCCCCATTCTGTCTGTCTGTCTGTCTGCAGGCTCCGTAGTACCAGACGATGAGTACCCCACCTTGCCCGGCGCCTCGCCCGTCAAGACCAAGCAATGATATGGCTGCCTGGGGGCGAGATATCTAGATGGATGGATGGATGGATGGCAGCAGAGCGACTGCCCCTTGGCTTTTCGTTTTGGCCTGGCCTGCGGGTGGGAGATGAGATGACTAGATGGGAGGGGGGGCTCTTTTCTACGGATGGCTGGCTGGGCGGGCGAGTGGGTGGTTGGTGATGTAGATACATACTGATACATACATACACAAAGACAGACACGTACGGACTCGCTCTTAGATGCGGCGCACACAGCCACTTTGAAGGGCCAGAGCGAGAGAGAGAGAGAGAGAGAGGCCTGGTAGATGGTGAGACAATGACGGACTGACGCGACTGGCGGTGCTGATATCAATGAACGCACCAGTCAGTTCAACTTCGCCTCACTCGACAGACTTGCTGAGGCCACACGCTATGCATCAAAGGTGTCGGTCATCACGCACACGCGTGCACTCATGCATCCATCCATCCAGGCACTGGAGGTCGATCCATCAATCAATACACGACGAAGACCTCCACCTCATCAGCTTTGAATGAACCACCTCATCAGTCTGAGCATTGAAGCCGCCGTCACCAGTCACCACAAGGCAGCGTCATACACAGTCACTCACCCCTTAGCATTCACTACTCCTCCTCCTCCTCTCTGTGTCGCTTCTTCTTTTTCTTCTTCTGCCTCCTGCCCTCTCCCTCACCCTCACCAACCGCAGCAGCAGCAGCAGCGGCTGCTGCCTGCCGCCCTTCCGCCGCCTGTTCGGCAGCTGCCTCGCTCTCCATGTGCTTCTTTCTCTTTTTCTTTCTTTTGTCCTGGATGCGTTGGCCGGCCTCCTCGGCTGCCTCGTCGGCCGCCTTCCTCTTCCTCTTTGCCGGCTCCTGCTCCTCCTCACCTGCCGTGACGGCCGCCGCCGCAGCGGCGGCGGCGGCTGCCGGCTTTGGCCTGGGTCCCTTGACCCAGGTCATAGTGGGCTCCTCGACGCCCAAGGGCAGCGGCTTGGTCCACTTGCCGAAGGTGTACTGGCGTTCGTCGTAGATGCTGCCGACATACGACATGTCGCTCTTGGGTGCGCGTGCCATGATGTCTCCCACAGCGTCAGCGAGGTACTGTGTGGACATGAGGGTGCGGCTGAGGGGGGCGTTGGCCCAGTCCATCGTGGCCGTCGTCTTGTCCATCGTGTAGTGCCCCAAAGCACGGTCCACCTCCTGCATCGCCATCAGCCCGCTCTCCGGCTCCACCTTCACCACACCCTGGAACCGCAAACCTGACAGACACCAGACACCATACGCAGAGAGAACACATCGCTCGCTGCCTTTGGTGTGCGTGCGTGTTCCCTTTTGCCCTTTGGTGTGTGTGCGTACCGACGGGCCGTGATCGATAGGGTGTGGATGCCAGCTCGAGGATGCCCATCTCGGCACACATGTTCTTGTCGTAAGCCCGCTTGAGCACCGCCACGCAGGGCCTGTCGGTCTTGACCGCCTGGTTCTCCTCGTCCGTCCCCCCAAGGCGCATCCAGGCCGTGTCGTAGGACCGGTAGAGCGGCGACCTGCCCGCCCTGTGGTTGAGGATGAAGTCCTCGACCTGCGGCCGGAGGTGCTCGAAGAGCGCCCTGCGGCCTCCCCTGATCTTGAGGTTGCTGGGCACGTCGATGAAGACCACATCGCCGTCGAACGGCAGCTGGGCTCTCGGAAGAGGCAGCGTGCCGTCGCCCCTGATGGTGGCTGGGCGTGTCGCCTGGGATGGGTGCTGCTTGTAGCCCACGAAGATGCTGGGTCGCGAGTAGAGGGCCTGGATGGGGGGAGGATGGTGGTTGACGTCCACCAGAGTGTCCGCCCATACGTAGGGATTCATCCGCAGCTTCTTGACCTTCTCCTTCCTCACCACCTTCCTCACCCGCCCCTCCGTCGCTGCTTCATCTCTGCCCTCGCCGGGTGGTGCCTTCTGTTTCTTCTTCTTCTTCTTGGTCTTCTTGACGCCCGCTGCTGGTGCTGCTGCTGCCTCAGCTACATCTTGCGCTTCCTCCTGGGCCGCCGACGCAGCCGCGCTTTGTTGCTTCCGCTGCTTTTTCTTCTTTTTCTTGACAGATCCGGGCTCGAGGGGCTCAGCTGTATCCATTGGGATGGAGTGCAACGGGAGATCAGACGGGGAGATCACTCCGCACGCGGACTGCTGCGAGCAACTGGAGCTGAGCTTGTCCTGATACGCATTGACTCGGGAAGTAGATCTGAAGGCTGAATGGCAGCCTCGACCCGTCACTGCTGCTGAACAATGCTCTCGTTGTCTCTCCTTGTGCTGGTGGTGATGCTTGGCCTGCAAATGAAACTGCCGTGCCTGGCCCTCCCCTCTGCGTTCGTCAGCCCGCTGAGGCGACTCGCACAGACCAGGAGCTCACCGCCATCTTCATCTGCACAGAAGCGAGGACTGGCGCTGATGAGCGAAGGGGAAGGCGTGCGGGCCACCAGGCGGCTTGGCTTTAGCGACATGATGGTCACACCTGTCTGGTAAGTCATCGGGAAGGAGAGAAACAATTGCATGATGCGTGTGTGTTCTAATGTCAGTCTTGGCACGATGACCTGGGGGGAGCAGAACAGCGAGGATGAGGCGCACGCACAGCTCGACTACGCCATCAAGGAGAGGGGAGTCAACTTCATCGACACCGCTGGTGAAATGAATGAATGAATGGATGTGCATGGTCGACCCATCTGCTATACCTATCATGTCTTCTCTGTCTGTCTGTCTGTCTGTGCAGAGATGTATCCGGTGCCGACTGCCCAGCACACGCAGGGTCTGACTGAGAAGTACCTCGGCACGTGGCTGGCCAAGAACCAAGACTGGCGCCACAAGATATACATCGCAACCAAAGTCGCTGGATTCATGGCAGGTCCGTCAGGCCGTCGCAGGCCAGACACACAGCTGACGGTGCCGGTATACTCTCTCTCTGTGTGTGTGTGTGTGTGTGTGTGTGCAGATTCGTACATGGTAGCGGGTCGTCTGAAGGAGAATGGCTACCTGGCGATCAACGGCAAGCAGAAGGGTCCGGCTCGGCACGACCCTGAGTCCATTCACAGGGCGTGCCGCGCCAGCCTCGCCCGTATGCAAACGTCATACATCGACCTCTACCAGCTGCACTGGCCTGACAGGTCAGGTGGGGTGGGCAGGGCAGGGCAGATGGACCAACCAATACGCTCACACATGTGCATCGCATCGCTACACATGACATGCCCGGATGCATTGCAATGAGTGAATGCCTGGCTGCAGGTATGTGCCCAAGTTTGGGAGCACTGTGTACGACCCCGCGCAGCACTACCCAACAGCAGTGCCATTCGAAATCATCTGCAGAGCCATCAAAGTACGTGCACACATAAGCAGCACCGTGAACCTGAGAGTACCATGCGTATTCTGTCTGTCTCACAGGAGCTTCTCGACGAAGGTCTCATCCGCAGCTGGGGCCTGTCTAATGAGACGCCATTCGGGGTGAGTCGGGGAGAACAGAAGGCAGGCTCCATGCCGTCATTCCTTGATTGCTGCTGTCCCCTCGGCTGCTCTGTCTGTCTGTCTGTCTGTCTGTAGGTGGCTCAGTTTGCGGCTGCGGCTCATCGCGTCGGCATCCCCAAGCCCGTGTCGATACAAAACTCATTCTCACTCGTACACCGGTGAGGCAACTACTGTGAGGCACAGGCGAAGGAAACGCACACAGGGGGTGTGCGCGCTCCTTTCCTGTCAGGGAGTTTGAGCAGACGCTGGCCGAGTCGTGCGCCCACTGGAACTACAACCTCTCTCTCCTTCCGTGGTCTCCTCTGGCTGGCGGGGCGCTGTCGGGCAAATACCTCGAGGGACAGAAGCCTGAGGGCGCCAGGATGACCATATGGCCATTCTTTCAATCCAGATGGCTCAATCCCAGGTGTGTGGTGTATGTGGACAGACAGAGATCAATCTTGATCTGGATGGATGCGCACCAGCTGTCTGTGTGTGTGTGTGTGTGTGCAGGTGTGTGAGTGCGATAGAGCGTTACAAGGCCCTGGCTGATGCGGAGGGCATGTCGCTGACCACACTGTCGCTGGCGTGGATCAACTCGAGGAACTACATGGAGAACGGCAGCACCATCATCGGGGTGAGGGTGGGGGGATGATACACGATACAGTCGACCATCGCACCATGGCCTCGGTGTGTGTGTGTGTGTGTGTGTCAGGCGACGAAGATGGATCAGCTGAAGGAGTGCATCGATGCTTTCGAGGAGGTGAATCATTGCACGCACACTCTACGCGTGGCCGCACCGCGCCATTGGGGTCTGTGCTTCTCGTGTGTTGTGTGGTCAGGGCGTCACGCTGTCTGAGAGGACATTGGAGGCGATAGACGAGGTGCATTTAGACTGCAGGGACCCCTCACAGTTCATTTGACGTGGCGAGCACAGCACACGGACAGGTATGGAGAGGTCCGTCGATCTAGTTGGGACGGATGTTATGGGTGGATGCTTCATGTAAGTAGCTAGCTACAGGCGTAGATGTGTACGTCTGTGTACCGTGCGTGTGGTCTGCTCGAACCAAGTGGCCCCCGTGTCGCTGACTCACTCAGCCCTATTCTCTACTGAGAAGGCATCATGCACATGCTGACCATACATATTATAGTGAGAGTTCAAATGGGATTTTTGCCTTTTAATGGAAATTGCGTCGTGGCCGTCCGCACGTTCCCACGTCATGCACCAACAAAACAGCGATTGTTCTTTCTCATCCGTGTCTGTCTGTCTGTCTGTCTGTCTACCAGCTCACACAACACCCCCCATCATGAATTAGACCGATCAGGCCGTCCTCTGTGCCGCGAACCCATCCACCGCTCATTGTTGGGAACTGCACTTGTCATCTCAGTCAGGCAATGCGCAGAATCAAATGGGCACCTGGGTAAGCCGCCAAACATGTCGCACAGCACAAGCTGACGCCCTGTGTGGCATTCCTTGACGTTGCTCGCTCACCTGAGCTGCTGAGGACCACATCAGATATCTCCCCAACGTTGAGCTTAAATGCAGCGGCCTCGAAGTTGCCGTCCATCTCACCGCGGCCGAAGAAACCCTGCACACCACAGCACAGCACACCCAACCACACCACACACCGAGATGCGGTCGGGATGCATGTGTGACTGCCTTGGTCAGTGCAGGCAATCGCACCCACCAGATCTCCTCCTTTGGCGAACGAGCTGCAGTCGCTGCGCTGCTCAGCTACCTCGGCGAAGTTGGCGGCCGTCAACCTGAGCAGACAAACAACCGCACACGGCAGCATGGTAACGTGCACGGGCGGCGGTTGCTCCTCCCTTTCATCCCAGCGTACGTTTCCTTGATCTTTTTGAGTTCTTCGATGGCGGCTTCTTCACTGATGGTGATGGGCTGACCCGTGCGACGGCTCACGGGGTTGCGGCTCTTGTTGTGCTTGCAGATACTGAGCACATACGACGCATGTCCATCTGCGTTGAAGAGATGAGCTTTGTGGATGCTTACATGTGACGGCAGCGAACCTGATCCGGGGCCGACATGGCGAAGAAGCTGGCGGCGTTTTCTAAGGACAAAAAGTCGGGGTTGGGGTGAAGGGTTTCAAGGTCGAGACGCGAGCTTATATCAAGACATCTCTCGACATTCGAGTTGCGGAGCTTTTCAGCGTTCCCTCGTGCCAGAGAGCTCTCTCTGTTGTGTCACAATCACTTGGAATCGGTTTCTCACCGGTGAGTCGTTCGGCGATGGCGGAGTACAAGCCAGCACGGACGTTCGTGGATGCCGACGGCACCAAGCACCACTTCACGTCAGAGTAAGGACACACAGCCACACACACAGCTGTCCAGCCCCTCGGCTGGGGCCAAGCTGAGTGGCCCGTCCTGGTGAGCCATATCACGCGCGTGTGTGTTGGTTGCTGACAGGGACAGTGAGATTGTGATCCAGACGGACTATGTGGAGGCCATTGATGACGTCAACAAGTCCATGCTCCTCACCAAACGGTGGGAAGGCCAATCCCCAGGCCACCACATAATGCACTCTCCTTTTGCTTCTTGCTTCAGTACGTTCTCATCTGGCGCCGCGCCCAAGGAGTTGGCCTCACGTCTGTCAGCCCGGCTGAGCATGCCGATGCGTGAGCGTGTGGATGGCGATGATGAGGAAGAAGAGGACCTGCAGATCTACCATGACGAGGTTGGTTGGTGCCGGGACAGCGGGCCCCCTCGTCCAAAAGGTTGGTTGGTTGGTTCACTTGGCTTAGGTCGAGTGGCTGACCAAGAAGGCATCAAAGGAGGACGTCGAAGACATCAGAAATGAAGCCATCAAAGCCGCCACACGGGTAAGGCAAACCCAGCCCAGCCCCCGGGCCCCGACTCTCTGTCCACCATGTCTCGCCCAACGTGTCTCCGTTGGTTTCTTTCCATCGACGGACTGACTCATCATCATATCATGCAGGCGGGGTCGAAGGTGAAGAAGAGGGTGTCGATCGACGAGGACCACGTGGAGGTCATCCACGACGCCCCCACCCGCAGCGGCAGTTTGTTGAGTCGCCTCTCCACACTCTTCCAGATCAACGACAACGACAACGACCTCGAGGACATCGGATGCGTCAACGAACCAGTCGCAGCAAAGACACAGGCACACCACGCCACGCCACACACGCACTCAGAGAGATGGAGGGAGACACCACTCTGCTCTGCTCTGTGTGTGTCAGGGCATGGGATTCTGTCAGGGCGGCCCTCCGGCCCCCTTTTGCCGGCTGTTTTTCGGTGGCTGTTTCCAGCCAGCCGTGTCCAAGGAAGAGGTCCTTGTCGATGCCGGTGAGCTGCTGGAGGAGGCCGAGCCCGTCCGCGAAGCCGTCTACGAGCTGCCCAATATCCTCACAGATTTGGACCTCGCAAAGGCTGTGGACCGCAGTGAGTGCACTGATGAGCGCAGAGGTCTGTGTCTGAGTGCCATGTGTGCGTGCGTGCGTGTGTTGTGCAGTGTTCGAGACGGATGATGACGAGTGCAGCTTTTGTTGAGGAGGCACAATGGATGGATGGATGGATGTGTCCGTTCGCTTGTGGTCTGGCTGGCATAGTGCGACTAAGACCGTTTTGGTTGGTCGTGTGTCATGTTGCCCTTTTGTTAGGGCGTGTTAATGCATTGGGCGTCTGTCTCCATGACTTACTGTGGTTGGTCTGTCTTTTTCGTTCGGTTGCCTCCCTGTCTGTCTGCCTACCAGTGAGTGACCAGTATCCAGCGCCCCACATGAGCTCACGAGTGAGGTGAGGACCGTCTGAATGCACACACATGCGCACAGACCGTATGAAGCGGGCGATAGATGGATGCACTAATGGGGACTGCATTCATCACTCATTAATTGAGTTTGCCCTCGTCAGCGAGACAAATAGTCCGATTGATGGCTGATGGCACACCACACCGTTCAGGCAACTGTACAAAGGACCAAGTATACGACAGCGGATAACGACGACGCTATCTCACACCATGAAGGTATCCGTCTGTCTGCCTATCGATTCATGTATCGTCTGCAGCAGTGATGCCCATGAAAGGTGTGAGCTCCGTTGTGTGTAGCCACGGGCACCAGCGGCTGTCCGGTTCCACGCCCTCAGCTGCGCACTCAGCAGCTCACAACTTACACGAGCTGGTCACTGTTTTGGACACGGTAACGACCCCAGTCAAATAACATCACCCTTCCGCAGCCCCGCCGTCCTCCTCTCCGTCGCCATCAGCCGTGCCTTGATCGCGATTGGCAGAGGAGGGCGGCGGCAGCATAGACAGAAAAGACGGACGGCCACTGCGCGGATGAGACGGCGCTGATTCACTCGCAGCGGCGGCAGCAGCCGGCTTCTCGACATCGACTGGCAGATAGCTCGTGTCGATGGGAATCATGGAATCATCTTCATCCTTCTCCTCGCCGAAGTCCAGTTCTTCAACATCAGCAGCATTTTCTTGCCTGTCCTCTGGCTCCCTCGGCTGGTCCTCCTCCTCCTCGCGCTGCCTCTTGCGCGTGCTCCTGACGCCAGGCCGATAGGTGGGTCTTGGGATGTTGGGGTGGCGGGCGTACTCTGCTGCCCAGGGGTCAGCGAAGACGCTGTCCACCGCATGGGAAGGCAGCGAGCCGTGAGAGGAGCAGCGAGCGGAGGGGGTGAAGGGCCGACGGCCGCCACCTGATCCCACAATAGAGCAACAGACCGACAGTCCCGCACGTGCTGTGCGTATGTGTCACTCATCTGGTTTGGCGACTTACGAGTCATTCCTCTTCCTCCGCGGCCACCTCTGTGGCCTCTGAAGCCTCCTCTGCCCCGACCATCCCCACCTCTGCGTCGGAACCCACGCTCTCCCCGTCCGCCGCGGCCGAACGATATCTCAAAAGATGGCTGAAGAATCATTGGCGGAGCGTGGCTCATCTGGGGTGGGAAAGCAGGAGCACCAGCCATGGCTCATCTCTCTGGGGAAGCGAGCTTGACGATCTGCATGCATGATGCAGCCCCCACCTGGCCCCCAGGATCTGAGACGCGCACAAAGGATCCTTGCCACGGATGCATGACCCCCCATCCCGCATTCTCAGCCGCATCTCTCTTCTGCATGCCATTGCAGCAGCTTTCGCCTGGAGCCTGCCATCCCATCTGCAGTGCCGAACCATCCCCATCCTCATTATCCATCCAGCGCAAACGCCATCCCTTTCTGACCATCATCTCTTGTGAGGTTCTTTGATCATGAAGCTTCTCGTGGCTGCTTCTCTTGGCACTGCGGTCCTTTCCTCTCTGTCGGCCACCTCCACTGAGCCCTCATTCACCACCGCCGCCTTCCTGCAGACCAGGGTATCGCTCGCGCAGTACTCTCATCGCCGGCACAAGAAGCGGAGTGCAAATTCAGCAAGGAAAGGGCCTGACGAAGTGCACGAGCTCGTTGCCTCACGGCCCGCCGGCAAGCTCACCTTGAGGCCGCCAGCTGACTCCAAGAAGGTCCACATCCATCTCAATGTCGACGCTGCGCACGTTGCCAATGCAACGGGCGGGCTGCAGGCTGAGACACAGGCAGCAGATCAGCTGGGATACGTCGTGTCGGAGCCGCCGGATAAGAAGATGGTCATCGGCAAGAAAGCGCTGTCTGAATCGGCGGAGGCGGTGAAAGAGTCGGACGATGCTGTCCCGCTCGTGGCCGTGACCAGCCAGGAGGAGGCAGTCATCGACAGCGAGAGGCGGGTCATCGATATAGCCAATGTGAAACGGGAGATGGCCGTCGTTGGGGGCATTCGCATGGAGGATGGGGGAGGGAGGGACAACGTGATGGAGGCCTTCTGCCCTTACAATCTGCCCATCTTTGCCAGGGCGTACGAGGCCATGTCTGAGGTGCGGGAGCTCAGACACATTCGGCCAAGAAGAGCCGGACATAATCTGCCGGTGAGCAACGGAACTCCGACAGAGACATTGGACACACAAGGTCGATCAACGGCCTTTGAGTGTTCTCAGGCTTGTGAGTGGTTCAGAAATGAGCCCGTGTGCTGTTCGGACACTCTTCTTAAGCGTATCGCCTTGCTGTTTCGATTTTCGTCTGCTGGGGTCAGCGGCACCAAGGGGGCATGGCCTGGCCTGGCCTGGCTTGGCTTGGCTGACAACAAGATGTGTTTGTTTTTCTTTTTGCAAATCAGCGTTGGGGCGTCCGGCAGAGCATAGACCACTTCAGACACTCTGAGGACGTCATGATGGCATGGCTCGATCGACGGAAGGTCAGATATCCTCTCAACGCCAAAGTCGAAAGCGCGCTGGAAAAGGTCCGCCTCCCTACCATGCTCACTGCAGACGCAATGTCTCCTTCCGTCCGTGTGTGTCTCTCCTGCGTCTTGTGTGCGGGCTGCATGCAGTTTGCCGGCCGCCTAGGCCGTGCCATGAAGGGATGCACTGCATACGAGGAGCACTGTCGAGACAAGTGAGACTGACTTAAGAAGGAAATATCAAGATGAATACATTTATCCATGCAATGCATCTTCGGCTGGTTATGTGTCTGTCCATATCGCAGAATAGTGCAGTACTTCGAGGCCCTCAATTGTGAGCTGAGCTGCGATCCGCATCTGTCGATATACCTCGACAAACATCGGGTCAGCCAGTGGTATGCGAGTCAGTCATCCCACCTCGATCGCCATAAATGTACATGTATGTATGCAGGAGCGCCTCCGTTTGTCGCGTGCTGGCCTGGACGAACTGTTTGACCGCTGCCACAAGACACGAGAGAGGGTCAAGCACTGCTCACACGAGCTGCAAAAGATCAGCGATGTTCTGCATAACACCGACAAGCGGGGAGAGGTACGTGTGTATGCAGCCAGATGAAGGAAGGCAAGCCAGCCATCTGTTTCCTTGGTATTTTGTGGCTGCAGCCTTTCCTGGAGAGGCTGGCTAACTTGACGACTAAGAACGCGAAAGAGGCGCAGAAAGTGGAGGCAATGCTCGCTGACCGCGCCACATTCGAGAGACACCTGCAGCGAGGGGGCAAGCAAGCGGCCGAACGACAGACACTGTCACATCATCCATTGGTGGACCAATGTGTGTGTCGGTCTCCTCTGTCTCTCCTCAGGATTCGGCTCGACATTCTTCCTACAAGAGCTGCTCGGCAGCTTCCACTTCTACGACCAAAGTACAACAAGAGCGCGGACGAAATCTTCACTTGATATTGTTTGTGGTCTTCCTTATCCTTGTCAGCCATGATCAGTTGGCCAGAATGGCCCGCGACGATAGTCAAGCCCAAGAACGAGACTGGCATTGAGATCGTTATCTCTGCCACAGCTCCCAAGCCACCAGTAGCCACCTCTGCCAAGGAAGCCCCAGAGCTGCCCGTACCGATGAAAGGAGCCGCTGCCGTCCATAAACCTGCTGTTCCAGATGCGCCAATGGCCCTGAAGCCGCCAGGTGGACTCCTGAAACCCCCAGGACCAATGCCCCGTGTCCCTGGTCCACCGTCACCGATAAGCGTCATGCGATCCTCGGGCACGGCACCCGAAGAAGAGATATCTGAAGAGGGGACAGAGAGTGAAGCGACGGAGAGCTCAGAAACCGAGTCGGAGATTGACGAGTCGGCCGTAGAAGAGGAGCAGCCGCCAACACCTGTGGGCCCTCCTTCAAAGGAGGCACCAAAGGCACCCGGCCCATCTGAACCGATTACAGTGGCTCACGAGAAAAAGGAGAAGCCAATGTCAGTGCTGCAGCCGCCTTTGGGCGCAGTTCGCATGTCTAAGCCGCCAGGTGCCGCCCCCGTGGTCGGCGATATCGGTCCACCGCAGCCGATACAGGTGAAACGGCCGGCGGGGATGCAGCCCCAAGAAGCATCGGATCAAGAGGAGACAGGCACAAGCAGCGAGGAGTCAGAATCTGAAGAGGGGACAGAGAGTGAAGCGTCGGACTCTGAAGACATCGAATCCACTGAAGAAACGGCCAAGGATGTCAATGTGCCTGTCCCAAATGCAGTGCCGGTTCCGGAGGTGGACACGCAGCCATCGGCCAGGAGTCCCCTGCCAATGAGGCCGCCTGGCCCGATGCCCGCAATCGGCGATGTAGGCCCACCACCGGCGCTAAGCGCGGCGCGACCCGCGGAGATGCCAGCTGAAGGAGAGACATCTGAGGAAGAGCAGACAGACACGGGCAGCGAGGAGTCAGGATCTGAAGACGCCGAGCCAGCTGAAGATGAGATGGCTGAGGACGATCGTGGCGGAGAGGCAGAGGATGAGGAGGGATCTTTCCTGCAGGTGGGGGCAGTGAGTATGGGGAGCAAAGGCCTTTCAAACAAGAGACACGGCCATAAGCACCGAGCAGAGCACGCAAGACATCATCACAGAAGGATAACAGCGCAAGACAAACAAGGTGTCTCATGATATTCTCTTGTTCATCCATCCATCCATCCATGTATGTCTCTGACAGGCACCCGTCCCCCTGCCCACACACAAAGCCAAAGTAGAAGACAAGGACAGCTCAAGCACAGGCCAGAAAAGCGCGGGCAGGGAGAAGATGCAAAACACATCGGAGACACACAGCGCGAGACACTTACAGCGAAATGGCCCAACGATCCAACCCACGATCACTCAGGCCCAGCAGCAGCAGCAGCAGCAGGGTGGTCAGCCGCCGGCTGCTCAGCCAATGCAACAGCAGCCGCCCCCTCCCCTCGCCCCTGCAGCCCCAGTGCAGACACAGCCACAGGGGCTGCCATCGCAGCCAGCAACCATAGGCTCTGCCATCGGACCACAGAAGCCTGCGCCGGTCCAAGAGGCGCCTCAGGGTCTACAGTATGGCTATGGAACGAAGGCAGCGGCCCCGGCTGGGCCATACGTCACCAACGTAGGGGCGGGGGAGCCTCCTCCTGGACAGACAAACCAGCAGCAGCAGCCGGCGGCAAGTGGGGCAAATGTCGGTGCCTCGTCTACTTTCCTGTTCCTGGAGTCTTTGCTGAGCAACCTTGTCCACACGGCAGAGCAAAGAGCGCAAAACGCCATCAGTGGGCTGTTCCACCGAGGCAGGAGACATGCGCGTGACAGCAGCCAAGAGAGAGCCCGCGAGGAGAAGAACAAACAGCAACCTGCGGTCGCGAGAGCAGGGATAGCAAGACCGATCCATTATCCTGCCTCATCCACAGGTCCTCACGGCTCGCTCATTTCTTTCATTTTCGGTCCTTGATTGATGTCCCTGCTGTGTTGCCGTGTTCATGCTTCAGTTGATGTATTCCCAGGTTTGGACGGCGGTGCGCTATTTCCTTCGGCCGAGCGGAGCCGAGGAGGCAACCCTTTGGTAGAATTTTATGAGGACAAAACATTCCAAACAAGCCACCACCATGCCCTATTCAGAGTACCCGACGATGCCATCGACTGTAAGAACATCAAGCAGACACACGACACACAAATGCAATGCGACCTCCCTTGTGCTTTGGCTACTGTTTATGCCACGCAGGGAGTCCACCGCCACCTATTGCCACCGACTGACTGAGTGGGGTGTGTGTGTGTGTGCGACTGAGAATTAAGATGGATGGATACATTTTGCTCGATGTCGACCCGACCCCGACGTATGATTCATCGTTCAGACATTCGACATTCGCTTGTCCTCCCTCCACAGATCAATCCATGTGCGGATGCAATGCATACATACATCACGCCATCGGTCTTGCGATGTGTGCACATGAGGCCGACCAACAGACAGACAGGATATTATTCAGCTGTCACCTCTCCCCCATTGCTGTCTGTCAGTCACTCTGCGGCTCCGTCCACTGCAGGCAGGTCGAGCAGCCTGATGACTTCTTGTGTCGTTCTGCCATGCCTCCGCAACGCCCACTTGCGACTCACCGCCTGCGCCACACACAAAAAGGAAGAGTCCCCAGTGTGTGTGCTCAGCTGTGTATGCGCAGATCTGTGTTGGCGGCGTACGAGTGCTGCGGTGCGAGTGACGGCGCCAGACTGGTGCTTATCGGAGGGCAGGAATAGCTCCTCCTCTCTCAGCTCACGGAAAGTTCGGCTCAAACTTCTGGTGCTCCCGCTGCTCCTCCCGCTGCTCGATGAAGAGTCGAGGGCCTGACACAAAGACCCACACGATGGGCGAGACATGATTCACGAAGATATCCATGGTCGACCTTGGAGTGTTTCGTAGCTTTCTTGAGGAGAGGTATGGCGATGACGGCATTGCCACGCACACTCGAGATGGGCACAGATGTGTGGCGGGAAACAACATCGGCCTGTGCACAGACGCAAAGATACACACATGCTTATCCACTACTCTCGTGATAGGCTGCCCCCCGCCCCTTGCTCACCCACAACGCGACTTTGGTGTCTCCTGTCCGTCTGATGAGGCGATTCGCGAGGTACAGCGACACCGATGCTAGTTCCAGTTGCGAAAACCGCCCCATCTCGTAGCTCACGGCCAGCACCTCCAGCATGTAGTTGGCCACTCGGAAATGCGATGACGTGATGTCGATGCGGCCCGTCTGCAGGAAGAACAGGCACTTGAGGAAGAAGTAGCAGCTCCCAGCCTAGCGACACAGGTGAATAGAGAAAAGAAGAAGACAAAAGGGAATCGTGTTTGGTGTGCTGTGTATTGCAATTCACGGAATGCTGCCAAATACATAGATTTTGCCGCCGAGTGCGCTGAGAATTTCCACCTCAAGCCGCTCGAAGTCACAGCCAGGGCTCGTGTCCTCACACACTGAAGAGAGAGATAATAACAGCGAAATCCAGTCAGTCGACACGTCCCGGCTTTCTGTTCTCCTCCCCCCCCGAGTGGATGAGCCTACGGTAGATGAAGTCAGCGAGCTCTGGCGGATGCACCTCGCTGTACTTGCTGCACGAGGACACACAGAGTGCATCCTTGTCCCCTCTTGCACGTAGCTGGCTGCCTGGCTGTGTGCATGGGTGTGTGCGGTGACCTTGCGATCCACATGGCTGTGCACCCGAGCAGCTGCAGTTTCTCCCGTGGCCATTCGACATCGCTGACAGGACAAACACACCACAAACACTTATATGTTTGCCCCGCCCGCCCGCCCGCCCGCCCGCCCGCTTGTTTTGCGTACTGCGTCATGTATGCGTCGATGATGTGAATGGTCATGATCAGCACATCGGGTGAGAGGTTCATGAAGAGGTGGACATCCACCAGCCAGTCGAGCAGCAGGTCCCGCTCTCCGCGAGTGACAGAGCCCTTCTTGTCCTCGTCAATGTAACTCATCGGACGAGCCACACCGTCAAACTGCAGTGCATGCATGACAAACACAAAGAGAGAGCTCACACACACAACACAGACGACGACGACGGATCTGTTTCTCAAACATTCACTGACCCGTTTTCTTTCATTGTGGAAGTTGGGCAGCAGATACGCATACTCGGCAGGCAGGCGCTGGCTGGATCTCGCCGCTGCTTGTGTGTATGGCTCGGCACGGTGGCGCTTCCTCTCCTCGCGCTGTGGCTGGAACGGGAGGGGCGTGTCGGACCGGCGGGCAGCCTTCTCGTTGTGCGCAAGCATCTGCAACTTCTCAAGAAGCGTCACCTTCCCCACATTCTTCATGGCGGCCTCCTCGTGAACGGCTTTGCAAGAGAGTTTACGATTGCCACTTGCGAGCTGAGCTCATACATGGGGCTCAGGGGGGGGGAGAGAGAGAGAGAGAGAGAGAGAGAGAGAGAGGAGACTCAGAAACGTCGGTCGAGAGTCAGACGCAGCAGACGCCCACCCGCCAGCCATCCACTCTGACGGATCCGACGGATTCGCAGCAGTACGACTTGCCCATCTATGTCGAATCCGTCGGCGGACCGTCTGAGGCGCCTCCTGGAAGGCGCTGACATCCTCGTGATGCCCTGCTGCTACGATGCGCTCACTGCCAAGCTCATCGAGGAGGCCGGTGAGGACGTCACAAAGGATATGACGCAGCTACAGGTGCTCAATCAAACTGTGCTGTTTTGCTTTTCTCCTTCAGGTTTCCCCCTGACGTTCATGTCGGGCTTCAGCGTATCTGCCGCGCGGGGCTTTCCGGACACGCAGCTCATCTCATACCAGGAGATGGTGGACACATGCGCGTAAGCACAGGCGCAGGACGACAAGCACGAGAAAGGAATGAGCTCAGTCGTCGCGTTCGCTCTGTATGTCAGATCCATATGTGCAACTCTCAAGACCACGCCTCTGATTGGCGATGGAGACAATGGATACGGTGGGCGAGACGAAGTGTGTTTCACACTCGCCATTTGCTGAATGGGTGTGCTTGTTTCGTGCAGGAAATCCCGTGAATGTCAAGAGGACAGTCAAGGGATACGCCCAGGCAGGTGGGAAGCCAAGCTTCTAGGAAGAACAACACAGTGATTGAGCCAAGTGCCGGAAAGCATTGCCTGTTTGTTTTCGTTTGTGTATCGTCAGGTGCGGCATGTGTGATGATTGAGGACCAGGTGGCCCCAAAGCGATGCGGACACACCAAAGGCAAAGACGTAAGAGGACTGAAGACAATGAATGGCACTGTGACTGTACTGTTCTCCGCCTGTTGGTCTGTGTGCAGGTCATTTCCTATGAGGATGCGTGTATGAAGATCCAAGCAGCCGTTGACGCGAGGTGACCAAAACAAACAGCACGAAATGCGCACGCATATCTGTCCTCTGCCTTGTTCGTTCAGGAATGAGGGCCGCGACATTCTCATCCTGGCCCGCACCGACGCAAGGGCCACACACGGGTAAGCCATCTGTCTGTTCGCCTGACTTACCTAGCTGTGCGTGTGTTCTTCTGCACAGACTTGACGAGGCGATCCGTCGGTGCCAGGCTTTTCGCCGTCTGGGTGCTGACATCACCTTTCTCGAGGCGCCGCAGACAGAGGAAGAAATGAGGAGATACTGCACGTAAGACGGTGGGTGCTGCTGGATGTCTGGTGGATGGTGTGTGCTCTTGTGCGTGTTGTGTGCAGGGAGGTGGACGGCCCCAAGCTCGCCAACATGCTCGAGGGCGGCAAGTCGCCAATCATACCACCGAAGGTCAGCCAGCGGCGGGATGGATGGATGGGTGGATGGATGAATGGGTGCACAGCTGACAGTGTAGTGAATGCGTCGTCGTGGTGTCACGCCGTGCTGTGCAGGAGTTGCAGGCCATCGGCTTCAAGATCGTGGCGTACCCTCTCACCCTGCTGTCGTCAGGCATCAAGGTAATGACATGACACCCTGTCAGGTCAGGCAGCCCTGTCCATGACATGACGTGACAGCACGTGTGTGTATGTGCTGTGCCTGTTGATGTATCAATCAGGCCATGAAGAATGCTCTGGATGCACTCAAGGCTGGCAAGCCCACCGACTCGTACATTCTGCCATTCGAAGGTACCGCTCTTCACACATGAGTCGACCAGCGCCACGACCGTCTGTGTGAGTGTCCATGGGTGGTCAGATCTCCGTGCGATCGTTGGGTTTGAGGACTACTACAAGGAGGAGGAGCGATATGCGACAACCAGCCCGCAGACGAATGGCAAATAGGAAGGGGTGGGTGGGTGGCTGAGTGGGTGCTGCCAGGAACTTTGTGTGGCTGCCGGCGGGGGGCATTGCACTGCGAGTGATGGTGGAATGTAGATCTGTGTAGATGAGAGGAGCGACGTTTTTGTCCACACAATGCCGGGTTGACGCGAACGCACTTTATTTCGTTAATGGGAGTTGGGCGGCGCAATTCGCTTGGCGGAATGCATTATGTATGCATCTGCATAGATTTCTGCGAGGACGCGAAAGGCAGGCAGCCGCCCTTTTACGTAAGGCTCAAAGCCGGCCAGGTACCCACGGCCAGGTACGGGGGGCAGCGGCAATGCCAAAGGCAGATAGATAACTTCTTCCCGCCACGGCAGGCGGGGAATGAGGACGGCTTCAGCCATCCTTTTTTGCTGCGTGAATCCCTCTCCAAGGATGTCGGCGGACCCCCCGCAGCAGCTCACGTCGGGGGTGGTCTATGACCCACAGCTCAAGTGCTGGGTAGCGTGCTGGGTGGACGAGCGCGGGCAGCAGCGCGAAACCGCCTACTCGGTAGAGTACTTCAGCGATCTGGGCGCTCGCGAGATGGCCGCAGCACGCCATCAGATGGCCATCGAGTCCATGGCGGCGGCCGTTAAGGCGCACACTAAGGCGGGCTGTAGCGGGGGTGCGGGTGGGGTGGAAATGGGGGTGCCGACGGCTCAGGTCAGTACTGCACGTACAGATCTTGATTGATGCGGAATCTGCTGTCCCTGTTTGCACTGGTTGGTTGCAGGGTGCGAAGGCCCACGGTGCTCAGGTTGGCGGCGGTAGCTACGGTAGTGTCGGGCCCCTCGTGCAGCCGATGCAGGGCGGCAGCACCAGCAAAGGATACCAGGTGATTGGTACCATCCAGAGTGCCGAATCGCCGACTCAGTCCAAGAAGGCCCCTGCTGCCGTGGGTGCGTCCATGCCGCTCGGCGTCGAGGGCAGCAGCAGCCTGGTGGAGGACCGTGGGGTGTGGTACGACAAGCGCACCGCCTCTTGGTGCGCATCATGGACCCAAGACGGCGAGGAGCAGGTGGCATTCTACCACGTCCCCACGTACACATTCTGGGGAGGTAAGGAAACCCGTCAGCGACACGGTGTCTCTCTCGTGTCCCCCACACCCACCCGTCTATTACGGCCTGATTATGGTTATCTCTCATGTCATGAATGGCGCGTTTTCTTTTCAGCGTACCAGCGGGCAGTGCAGCGGCGTGACGAGGCAGTCAAGAGTTAGGTAGAGGCGTGTAGAGGGATGGGAGGGGGTAGACGAGAAAGGAAAGGCGTTCTCTGAGTAAAAGGCTGGCTTGGGAGGCATGGGATGGGGTGGGGTGGGTGGTTGGATGAGTGCGTGTGTGCGTGTGTGCGTGTGATTGTGAGTAGGGGCAGTGTGGTTGCTGTGAGGCAACATCTGACTAGACAGACAGACACCTGACCGACCTGTGCAGAGAACCACCGTGCATGGCAGGCACCTCGTTGAAGCCATCGATGCAGTCAGTCCCGAAGTCATACATACCCCACACATGACACACATACACACACATACAGACATCACACACACATGCACACACACACAGACACCATGAGCCCACCAAGGCAGGCTGGTCGCCATTAAATGCAGTGCAGACCGTCCTGCATCTCGGTCATTGTTCGAGAACCCGCAAAACCCACCTGCAACGACGACTGACGCACCCGCCCTCCCTCCCTCCCGTCCTCCATCTACTCATTGCACGCAAGCACTCAGCCATGGGAAAATGAACGAGTGCATTCTTCCACCATTCAGCATTTGCAATAGCTACCCAGACGCCCGACTAACCAGCCGTCTGCAGCACCTCGATCTCGAAGCACAGGTCTGCACGTCACAGGGATGCATGTGTGTGTGTGTGTGTGTGTGTGCAGGTGTTGTGTCACCTGCGTCGGGAGGGATTCCCCATGCAGGGAAGCCGCTGGATCCATAGCCCACTGACAGGACAGGACAGGACAGGACAGGACAGGAGAGAGATCTGAGCCCATGGCCCCCAATGGCATTATGCGTGTCGCGTACTGTTGGCAGGTATCATAATGTTGGCCTTCTCTCCGACCTTCATGCCCAGCACGCCTTGGTCCCACCCAGCAATCACCTCGCCCTTACCGGCATTGAACTGGAACGGCTGAACGATTGATTGATCGCCCACACCCACCAACACACGCGCAGCGACATCCACCACACACGATTCATGCGCAGCTGTCGAGTGTCAAGTGTCGACGACAGAGACGGTCGACGAGGGAGGGTACCTGCTGGCCGGGGTCGCGCGTGGACCAGAATTTCTTCAGCGCGCCACCAGGCTGGCGCACGTTGCCGGTGGCATGCACGGTCGTCCGCATCCCTGCCTGCACAACAGGCCCGTTGCCTTCACACACACATACATAGATCAGCGACCAAGGGGATGCCTCAGGAACGTCGTCCCTCTTTCCCTCGGCTCACCTGGAGTGATGATCTCCTTGGCAAGCTGTGTAATCCTCGACATGACAGCGGAACAACTGGTAGAACTGCGGGAAACAAGAACGGTCAGCCCGTCATTGCATGTGCGTGTGCCTTTCAGATTTCAGCTCTGCTTACTCAGGGCTGCTCCTCTACACACCCGGCGTCCGTATTTGTTGCAGATCTCCGGTTGCTGCGTGCGAGCCGCAGATCTCAGCTTCAAGTCAGCTCGCAGCGGGTCAGAGTTGCTTGAGAGAGCTGCTGCAGGACCAGGAGAGAGAAGGAGGGAGGAAGCTGCTGCCGGCCTTGTGAACACAGTTGAAGCAGATCTGAGAGGGTGGAACGAAAGGCTTGGTCGCATCACTGACGCTGAGAAGCCAACGGAGCGAGGAGCAAGCTTCTTCCTTCACGATGGGGAGTGACAACCAAGACAAAGACGGGTGGCCCACTTTCGCGCTTCTGGTGGTGTACGTGCACGGGGTCTACATGCTCTCCTTCCTCATCATGCCCACTCTGCTGCTCATGTCGATTATCTCCTCCTGGCGCTATCTGCTGCTGCCGCCGTGGATAGCCTACTTCCTGTGGACATTCGACAGATCAGAGGTCAGGCCGGTCAGCCCTCACCAACAACACGTGACGTGACATCTGTCTGGCAGTTAACCGATGGATGTGATGTGTGTGTTGTGTGCAGTATCGCTTGGGCCGTCCGTGGCCCTGGCTGAGTCAGCACGCGTGGCCTCTGCAGGCTCTGCGGCGTTACTTCCCATTCACCATCCACGTGCCGCCGTCACTCGCCAAGACACCCGACCCCAAGACAGGGACTGGAGAGGCAGACGACCACCCGCCAAGGACTAAGAAGAAGGGGCCATACATCATCGCCATCCACCCTCACGGCTCGACATCGGACTACAGGATCATCTGCGACGGGCTGCTCACTGACCACATCGACTTCGGTTTCAGGGAGAACGCAGAGAGTGAGGGGTTCCCCTATCGCACGCTGGCCGCATCGTCGCTCTTCTGGTTCCCTATCGCGAGGGAGGGCGCTCTGTGGACGGGCTGTGTGGATGCGGGGAGAAGGACGGCCGAGTGTGTGCTGTCACACGGACTGAGCATCCTGGTTGTGCCTGGAGGGCAGAGAGAAATGCTCATGACTCAGTGCGGCAAGGAGATCATCTATCTGAAGAAACGCCTTGGCTTTGTGCGGCTCGCGGTGCGTCATGGGGTGGCCCTTGTGCCGTGCTACGTCTTTGGGGCATCTGGTAGGGAGGGGAGGGGGACTGAAATGGATGGATGGATGCGCTTTGTGTGTTATTTATTTCTGCCCCCTGTCAGATACGTACTTCACATGCCGTTTGCTGGAGAAGCTTCGTGAGTGGATATCTGAGCGGCTGAAGCTCACGATTCCCCTCATCTGTGGTGCGCCGCTGCTCATGCCCAGACGCATACCCATGCACATGGTCAGTCAACAGCGATGAAGGACCACATACACCTCACCCGCCTCCCACGCACGTCGGATTCGATTCGTGTGTTATTCAGGTGTTCGGCGATCCCGTGTCGCCCCCGTCGATAGAGCGGCGTGAGGAGAGGTCAGAGGAGCAGCGGGTGGCAGAGATGCATGCCGCCTACGTGGAGGCTGTGCAGCGGCTGTTCGATGAACACAAGGGGAAGTTCGGCTACGGGGATCGACAGCTGATCGTCTTGTGAATTGGATTAGCTAATTCGAGCTGCACTTGTGCGGTGTGTGTATGTAGACAAGACTACTGACTTGTATAGACAATTGCGTGTGATGTGCCCTTCACTCATACTCATGTCAATTTATATATCTGTTTTTGATGGATGGATGGATGGACATATCATATGTACGTTCGTTCGTTCGTTGTCCATAGCATGCCATGCCATGCGATGCATGCCTGTGTCGTGTCGCTCATCCACACAATCAATACGCACATCACATCTCACGTCTGTCACGGCTCCATGGCATGCACTCAGACACGTCACGCGGCAGGTGATGGATGGCATCCTATCCATCACATGTCGATGACTCGCGACAGCTTCTGAATGCGATTCAGCAGTGCATCACCCTACAAACCACACACACACACACACAGAGGGAGAAGAGGGACCATATGTCGACTTTCTGACGGCGCCATCCCATCATGTTTGTGGCCGTCTGTTCTGTCTGTCTGACCTGTTTGATGGTTTGCAAGTAGAGTGCGTTTCTGGCGTCGGGTCTGTTGGACTCGATGATGCGCCCAACCTTGTCGATCTTACAGCTCAACTTGCCCGTCGCTATGAAACCTGCCACCTCACTGATCAGTCAGATCAACACATCCACACCATGAGTGACTGCCACACATGTGCCAATGCGCCCATCACGTGTGTGTGTACGTGTGTGTACTTTTCCATGAAGTCGGGCGACACGCCGAATGCTGAGGCCATGGCCCCGAGTGTGACCGACTTGTAGGGCTCCAGGAACTGCGCATACGCACGCTGAACACACACGTACCATACGCACACACGACATTCACTAGTGAAGGAAGTGTCGAAGAGGGAGGCGAGTGGTGTACTGTGTGGTGAGCGGAGCGGACCAGTCGTAGGTTTCGGACGAGGTATCTGTAGTGCAGGTGGAGATAGCGGTCAGACCGAATGCGGTCCGTTATCGGAACTGATGCACACACACACACACACAAGCGTAGCCTACACAATGGGGAACGAACGAGTGAGAGCTTTGTCGTGTGTGTGTGTGTTGTGTGGCTGTCCTGTCTGTCGACGTAACGTACTGAGTTTCTCCATGAATTTCTTGTAGTCCCCCTGGTAGAAGGAGTTCAGGAAGTCACGCAAGTCGTGATCCCCCTGCACACACAGACACACGTGTCTGTCTCTCTGTCTGTGTCTGTGTGTCATCGATGGGTGTGCCCCACCCACCTGCGTCACTTGAAGCACTTCGGGGGCGTGCACAACCTTCTCACGCAAAACAGGCCGACCCAAGGCAACCTACACACACATACGCACACACACACACACGGTGGGTGCCTCCCAGACAGAGGCCACGTATGAATCTGTCTGTCTGTGTGAGAGTGTGTGTGACCAGCACCATGCTGAGCACGACGGTGTACTGGATGAATCGTTCGAAGGAGAGCAGCTCTGTGGCCGTGAAGGTCGCCACCGCAGACAGAAACAACTCAGCAGCTGAACACACACACACAGCTCTCCTCTCTCTCTGTGTCTTTCTTTTGTGTCGGTGGCGCCGCGGTAGCTACCCTCTTTGAAGCTTCGGATCATCATGAGCATGACGCCCTCGTACACCTGACGTGCACATGCCCACACGGCCGGGCCGCCCACAAGTCAGCCAGCCAGCCTATACGTGCCACTCACTCCATCCCCCGCTGCGCTGCGCTGCGCACCTTGAGTTTGTTCCGCCGCTCCCAATCACCGCCCTTCTCCAACTCACTGCAGACAAACACAGATCGATAACACAGATCGATATAAACCGCCAAGCAGTGAGATAACTCGCAAGGTGCGACGGACGATAGTTTCCTCACTCCTTGGCGCGCTGCACGTTCTTCTTTGTGAGCGAGAGGTCGTGTGTGAAGATGCCCAGCCGCACCAGCGTCAGGATGATGTCCAGACGGCTGCCGGCACCCACTGTCTTGTCGTACGCCACCTGGTACGCCTCGATCGCCGCTTCCTGATTGATTGACCACACGCACACACACACGTGACACGACATGAGTCAGATGATTGTGTCCATATAGCCATGATGCTGCTTGCCTTGTCCCCGATTCTGCAGTAGAAGTGTGCCTTTTCGAGGAGCCCGTCGCGGACCTCAGTGTCGCCGAGGTTCTCCTCTGCGTCCTTGATCTTGTCCTCCAGACCCTTCAGCTCATCCTCATTGGCCTTTCGCAACGACTAAACACGCACACGCACAAGGAGACGATACGCGCCACGCCCTGTGTTGCGGGTGTGTCTGTTGTGTGTGTCTGGTCACTCACCTCGACGAGTGACTGGTCGACGGGCCAGCCGAGCGACTCGCACAAGTGCGTGTAATACGGCAGCATACCTGCCAGAGACCACACACACACACACACACACTGCAGTGTGTGTTGGTTGCGCGTAGGTACCGGCTTGCCTACCGTCGGCGCGTATCTTCATCATGATTTTTGCCTTGGCCTCTTCCTTGTTTGGTGCGAGTGCGTCGGGCAGCGTCAGCTCAAACCGCCAGTCGGCTATCTCGTTCTCGGGCAAATACTTCTCCGTCGGAGGCACTGGACGACTGAACAGACCCTCGCACAACAGCACACACAAGAAGGCGCATTCTTGCTGTGATCTCTCTCTTTTGTGGTTTTTTGGGTGTATGGTTACGAGGTGGTTTCCCCGCCTGTGGCATCGATGCCCATGTCCTCGTCCTCCCGCTCGTCGGCGGGCCGAGAGGACATGGCCTGGTCCGGCAGCTGACTCATGATGTATCCCTTGCAAACAGAACAGATGGATCCGATAGATCCACGCAGACAGCCTGCTGTCTGTCACGGGAGAGGTCGCTTCTTCTTCTGCACCTAAGCTCGCACCCAGTCTTGAGGGGAAGGAGAAGGGGCGGAGGTCGACATCCTCGGCATCCGCTTTTGGAGTGCTGACGCTGCCCAGATCTTTCACGATTGATTCATTGCGCGGCCTTGATTCTACTTCGCATCGATGGCTGACGGAAGGAGCTCTGCGGCCGACGCCACCGACCTGCCCGACGCCCACACACCGCCATCTGGCCATGACGACGTCATATCGCTGACGCACGGGACGGCCGAGACGATCCTGAGTGAGGCGCTGCACATCCTCAGCAGCCAGCAGGGCGGTTTGGAGGCTTCTGAGGAGATGCAGGCCATCATGAAGGAGTGGTGCCAGAAGCAGCGGCCATCTGTGCGCATCGTTGTGACCCCAGAAGGCGGCCCGGCCCAGCGAGGCACTGCCTGCGCAGCCTGCCAGACCGACCCTTCACCTCCATCGGAGTCCAGAGCCCCCTCCCCCTCTCCCTCCCCGCCGCAGCCCACCGTGCGGCGCCCCATATGCGCGTCTATGGTTGGGTCTGCTGACGACAGCCACGAGCTGAGTGTGGTCAAGGCGCTGCTGATGCTCAAGAACCTCCAGCCGAGGGGAGCCCCGGATGGCGGCGGCGGTGACGGGAGCTCCGGCCCGACGAAACCTCATGGTCCTGTCGTGGCGGCTAGTGGTGGTGGTCGTAGTGGCGGTGGTGTTGGATTGGTAAAGGAGCTGATAACGCTGCAGCAGAAAGTCAAGGTGGGCAGCTGGATGGATGGGGGGATCGGGGGAGACGGGAGGCCGATGAATGCGGACCTGTGGGGCGTCTGTGTGTGTGTTCAGATGTTACAGGAGTCGTATCGTTTGTTGCGTGCCGATGTCCTGTACCTCAACTTCGAAATGGAGGTGAGACGAGGGAAGGACAGACAAGGGGCGGGGCAGACACACACTCGGCCGCCGGTACGGGTGTTTGTGAATATGTGTTGTGTTACTCCTCCATCCATCCATCCATCCATCCATGCATGGTTCAGACGTGTTGCGAGTGGATTGTGGAGTCGTTCAGGCAGTGCGTGCAGCAGCAAGTGCACGAGTACCAGTGGCAGCAGAATCGGCTCAACAAGCTGGCCAAGGTCCTGAACTAGCTAAGCTAACTCACGACTAACGACGGGAATGGGCGGCAAAGGATGCACTGCAGCTGGGGGGTTGAGAGTACCAATGAGAGGGAGTGTGTATGTGCATTGCACGCTGGCTGCATGGGAGACCTTCGGTACTTGCATTGCAGTACATACATATGTCACGTTATGAAGCTCTTGTTCCAAATCTATGTCTCTCCGTCAATGACAATGCTTATGGACAAAAGAACTGTCAAATATAAAATGTTGGCAGCGATAAGCCCTCTCCTGCAGCACACACGCTGCGGAACGGCACATGTGTGTGTCTATTCGATGGGGTGCTGCATACCTGACGAGTCGGTGTGCCATGCAACTGGTGACCCCCGCCACTACTAGCACTACCATTACCCCCGCCACCACCACCACCACCAAGGTCGCCGGTTCTACCACACGGTCAAGGTGCGGCCGCCCTGTGAGGACGGGCGATGGACGAATGGGGCCGGGGACAGAAGGCGGCAAAGGACCACTGTCTCCGCAGCCGAGACATCGGCGTCTCTGGACCGGTTGGCAAAGTCTTGACATTGCTGCTCCAGACACACACACACACACACACGCACAGCAGAGAGAGGTGGAGGATGTTCTGTGTGTGTGAGTGTGTGTGGATGGAGGAAATGGCTGGGGGACTGGACACTCTGCTGACTCACTGACTGACACGTGTGAAGCTTACATAAATTGATGGTGACGTGTTTGCAGTGCGACACCGACACGGTGGGCCATGTCACGTGCGCGTCTGGTGGAATGGTGGGGCCAATGTTGAACTGATTGATGCACACAGAGTGAGTGGGTGACGTCTTGGTGGACTGACTGGACACTCTGCTGGCTCACTGAATGACTGGTGCGGCGCGTGTGCTTACGTACGTTGATGGTGAACCCTTAATTGACGTCGCGGCAGTTCGACACCGACACGGTGGTGGGCAATGTGGCGGCCTGCAGAGGGTCAGACCAACACGGACATACATGTCTGTCTGTCTGTGTTTGGCACCTTTTGTTGCTATGTGTGTGCACCTGCAGCTGCCGGATCGTGTTCTTGAGCTGGGCCCATAGCAGCGTGGATTTCCTTAGTCGTCACAAATGGAGGACTTCGACGGCACTGACGTCTGCACGGAAAAGCAATGCGACGATGACTGGTCGATCCACGAATTCCCTCCCTCTTATGCTCCACGGCGACTCACCGATGACTTGATGGTCACTCTGCTCTTCCATCGCGTGCTCGCCATGTTCCGCAGAGTCCCTGATCATTTGATGACCAAGGAAGTCATGCAGCTCCCTCAGTCTGTCCTCCATCCGCTTGAGGCTGATGTGGTCGGCAGGGGAGGGCTCACATGCACAGCAGCACAGGGTGGCCAGCCACGCCTCCACCGGCTTGACCCAGCGCAAGTCGGCCCTCTCGTGTTCCCGCTCATACAGTGTGGTCAGCGGCAGACTCCTGGTCGAGAAGAGGTCTGTCTTGGTCTGCTTGAAGGTCTGCTGTGGCTGCAGTGCCTCCTTGGCGTGCCACACTGCCACTGCGGAACTCCTCCCGGTAGCCATCCTCGTCGTCATAGCTGCCCAGTGATGATTCCTCCTCAATCCACTCCCAACCCACCAGCAGTGCCGTCACGTCGTCCAGGGTCTCGGGCGTGCCCGTGATGCACTGCTCCTGGTCTCGCCGCTTGCCGACGGACAGAGGGACAGCGGCAACTGGACCCTCCTGCATGAAGGGGGGCGGCTCGCCGGCAGCACGGGCACAGGGCACAGACTGTCCTTGAATGCACATCGAGGAGGCTTCTGGTGTGTTGCCTTTTCTCTGCAGAGACCTCGACCATTGGATCAAGAAGGAAGTCGTGCAGCTCCTTAAAGCTGTCCTCCATCTGCTTGAGGCTGATGCGGCTGGCAGGGGGGTCGCAGGGCACAAACTGTCCTTGAATGCGCATCGACGAGGCATCTGGTGTGTCGCCCTTGCGCTGCTGCTGAATTGAAAGCCTTAGGAGGCAAGAGGGCGGAAATAAAGCTGGGGCGATGAAGAAACGGAAAGCTTGTTGTCTCTGGAGTCTGTCTCGCGGCGAGAATTCGCGTTGCGCAGGGAGCTCATGGGAAAGGTTTCAAGGGAGGGAGGGGATATCTATGGATGCCGGCTACTCGCACATGCATGCAGGTGAGTGTTACCGACCAGAAGAAATGTCTGTATGTGATTCATCACGTGGCGGTGCATGCCACTCATTGTGCTGGTGCACAACGCACAGCCATCCATGGATGCCTGCCATGGTGTTTCCCGCCGCATCCCTTCAGAGTGGTTCATTCATGCGTCTTAGAACATGACGCACTTGCACTCACACGCACACACACATAAACGGATGTATGAACGAGTCCATGCACTCACATAAAGACACACATCACATCACACACAATACACGCATGCATGTATCAAGTCACGCACCATGGATGGACACCGTGACATATATCACCAATAGATAAGACAGATCTCCAAAAAAACACTCACTCACTCACACACACCGCGCACCATGCACATATACAAGAGACACGCTCCTAGCGCGAGCACCCCTCGCCCCCTCCCTGCGGCCAGCCAGCGACGAAAAAGGTACCAGCAGTCAGTCACTCAGGTAGTCCACCACTTGAGCCAAACAAACAAAACAAACAAACTGATGTTCTCTGAGCCATGACGGTCGATGGCTGTTGTCCATTTGCCACAATGGCCGCATGCCAATGGCCAACGACCTTAGCCCAAAAGACACACACACAATTCCAATCCGACCAATCCAATCAAATCAGTCAGTCAGCCAGTCAGCCAGACAAATGGATCACCAGCAGCCAGCCGTCCCTGATTGGTGTAGGGCGGCGGTCTCGAGATGCATAAAAACCAGCACCGACGAACAAACCGACCAATAATATGTATGTATGATAAAACCACAGCCACTCCGCGGGGAAAGAGACCACGGCATGGCACGAGTGGGGGGAGTGTGGTGTGGTGTATGCAAGTCATGTCATCCGGGCCAGCATAGAAAAAGCTAGCTTGCCGCCCCATGCACACACATACACATGCACCTTCACTCGCCTTCAGTGCCTCCACACACCAGCAAGCAGCCCACCCTCCCCTCCAGCCCGATCCAGTCAGTCAGTCAGTCAGTCAATTAGCGTCGTTGGCATACATACACATTTGCATGTTTGCAGCCATGCATGTCACGTCACGAACTAAACTCGCGTCCCCGCTCACTCGGTCAGGCCACAAACATACAAATCCATGTATTGTATGTATGCCGGGATGTAGGTATTTAGAAACGAATGAAAATCAGCCACCCATATACTGACTGACACCAGGTATTGTTGTCTGCCTGGTGTCGGCTGTCGGTTGCCCCTCCCTCCCTCCCTGACTGCTGCTGCTGCCTCCGTCCGTCCGTCCTTTGTTGGTCCCCCCCGCTGGCTGTGCAGCGACCGACAGCCTGGCGTGAATGGCGGCGGGTCACTCATTCATTCATTGATGGAACCGATGGTCGTGGGTCGGTTGGACTGCCACTGCCCCGACTCCACTGGCCGCCTCTTTGCCGCCCATCAGGCTGTCGCTGTCCCGCTCGTCGCTGACCCCCTCCATGCCGCCCACTATCCTCACGTGCGACCGCGGCCGCCCTCGATTGATCTCCAGGCCATCCAGGCCACTAAGTCCGCCCCTCAAGACCGACCTTTCCAGGGGAGTGGCGGGCGGCGTAGCGCTGAGGGGTGGCGAGTTGCTGCTGCAGCGAGTGACGGCTGTGGTGGGTGTGGTGGGGCCGGCAGTGCTGCCTGTCTTGATGGGGATGGGACCCCAATCAAACGAAGACGAGGAAGCAGCGTGGGGGGCTGCGACTCCATTGCTTGCTGCTGTCGGCACACTTGACAGATCCAAGTGAAGTGGCGCCGGCGAGCGGCCAACCTGACAAGACCCAGGCAACAAGGGACAGATACCAGCGTGCTGCGCATGTCTGGTGCCAGTCTGTTCCCACCGCGTCTTCATTGACGGGCCTCGGTGTGGCCGACACAGACCGCTTCAAAGCGCCGGGGGACCCCCCACTGCTGCTTGCTGCACCCGTGTATGGGTGGCCCACTGTGGAAGTAACGTGCGACAGCGACGCGGTACTCGGCGGGGCAGAGACGGGCCCATGCGCGACAGGTGGCCAGGCGAGCGCCGGCACATGGTAGGGGAGGGCACGAGGGGGCGGCCTACCATAGGGCAGCATGGGGGGACGACAGACGATGTGGCTCATCGGGACTGACGCAGCAGGTGAGTGGAAGGGGACCATCATCAGGCTGTGACGCTGCTCGTCCTCTCTGGAGGCCGGGCCGAACGATGGGACAGGGATGAAGATGACGCCATTGTAAGGCATGGCCAGTGGCATTTGGGGCACGGCCATGTTGGGCAGATGCACCGACCTCACGAGCACCGGGGGGACGAAGGAGAGCGATGCGGGCGACTGGGCGGCCGGGAAGAGCCCTTGTGCGGTGAACCACTGGATGAGTGCAGGGGGGATGATGGGTGCCTGTGGGAAAAAGTGACGAAGCTGATGCGGCACCGGGGCTGACGACGAGGCACTCGACTGCCACAACACCTGCCGACAGCAACAGAAACGAACACGAAGGTACCTACTGAGGGGTCCGTGATTGCCGCCGGCATGTGCCCTTCCTTCCACCCACCCTGACTGACTGACCCTGCGTGTGTCGACCTCGATGACGTAGATCCTCCAGTCGGTCTCAAAACCCTGCCGGCCCTTGCCGTCACCGTAGTCGATCTCAGCACACACCACCACCACCGAGTCGTCCACGGCAAACAGCACGTCAGCCTCCAGCACCAGAGGCGACCGGCCGCTGCCGCCTCTCCAGTCCTCAGGCCCGCCATCCAGAGGCACAGGCACCACAGAGAGCAGTGCGCCGGCCCCGCCCCCCTTGCTGGTCGGTGACGTGTTCTCCACTGAGTAGAAGGCGAGCTCCAGGCAGGGCAATGGCTGGATCTCGTGTATGTGGTCACTGGTGAGGCTTATGGCGGCACCCAGTGCACGACCGAGCAGTGATGTCTTGTCCTTGGTCTTCTTGTCCTTGGGCCGGTCCGTGTATGTCGTGAGGGTCGGCTGCGAACACACGACAGCGACAGGGACGACGTTGCCCACATTGGCCGCCAAGCCGTTGAGGGCCAACGCCCCGCGCCTGGTCTTCTTGCCGGTCGTCTTGTCACCCCCATCCATGGGGATGGGCCAGGGCCGCTCCGGCGAGCTCGTGATGGAGATGGATGCGAGGCAGTAAGGCACGGCGAGGGCGAATGGTCCGCCCAGGGTGTCACGCTGGCGCAGCATGGTGACATCGTAGACGTCCACATACTCGCCCGACATGCGGTGGCTGACGAGGGTGCGGCAGCTGGGGGCATACCTGACCACATTGGGGACCATGGTGCGGCTATATTGCCATGTCGACACACGCGTGCATGTCCCGGTGGCGCTGTCGATCTCCACGTGCCAATGGAATCCGCTCCAGGGCCCACCCGGCCCGCCGTAGGCCAGAAAGGAGAAGGCAGGCGGGTCCGTCAGCACCCCACCGCCCACCCAGCTCAGGCCGAAGAAATGCAAGCCACCTCTCTCCCATGTGGGTCGGCGAAGGGATGTCATCTGCTTGCACTCAGCAGCTGTAACCGGCGATCGGGGGCTCGTGGGAGTGCTCGTGCGCGAGAGCGGGCGGTGCTGGGGGGCACTGGGGTGCGACTGCGGGGTGAAGATGCGCGCCAAGGCCGACAGCCCCATGGCGCCGAAGCTATTGCGGCTGGCGGTCTGAGAGGTGCGACGATCGGGTGTGCCCACATCCTCCCAGCCCCTGCTGTTGGTGCTGCTGCTGGTGCTGCTGCGGGTCTCCCGCCATGTGCTGCTGACCGACTGGTGGTCGGGGTATGGGGAGGCCTTGACGCGTGTCTCCATGAGGAGATAGACGGGGCTGTCGCCGTCGACTCCCAGGCAGAAGATGAGGTTGGGAAACGCGTGATGCACCAGCAGCGAATGGGGCTGCAGTCTTCTCAGCAGCCGAGGGCCCATGGGAGTCGACAAGCCGATGAGTGTGGGTCTGAAGGTCGGGGGACGTGAGGGCTCGTCACCCAGCGGCTGGGCGGGCGGCAGTGACCGGATCGGCGGGGAGGGGAAGGGCGGATGGGGCAGCGAGGGAGACACCGATGGAATGCCGACGTGAGGCACATACGACACCGTGTCACGGCCATATGGGCCATATGGAACGTCTGCACAGTACAACACACACACACACAAGCCATCCATGCATCCATCCATCCATCCAGCACCCACGTGAGGCTCCCTCCTTCCTGCCCTGCCCTGTGGCTCCCTCCCCCCCCCCTCCCTCCCTCCAGCGTACGTACATGAGTGGTTAGAGTGCAGACTGGTGATGGTTGAAACGGTGGTGGCCACGGGCGAGTATGAAGGCGTCCGCGAGTGCATCAGTGGGGAGGGCGTGAACGACGGTGGGGGCGACACGGGCACGTAAGACGGGTTGAAGGGGCCAACAGGAAGAGGCACGTACGAACCTGACAGACAGTAAACCATCACACAGACACAGACAGACAAATGCATTCATCCACCTGGAGAAATCATGCAGAACACTATTCTGATGCCAGTTACCTACCTCCGGCACCGCCCGCAGAATCTCCTGGCTGCCGCTGCCGAAGCATTGACAGTGGCACCTTCCATACGCCGATTTGCATTTGTCCTGGTGCGTCTTCGGCCCCATCGGTCTCAGTGCGGCAGACGGCGGCCATGAGGAGGTACCCCTCGGCGCCATGGTGGGAAGGCGCCACCAGTGTGCCCGCCAGCCATTTGTCCGATCCCGTGAAGAAGAGCTGGTCCTCGTGTGTCGACAGCTCCATGAGTGTGGCGGCTCCCAGGGACTTGAAGACGAATCGCCTCTTGCCGTCGGCAAAGAGCACGAAGGGGTAGTCCGGGTGGCTCATCATGCCCATGTCCGTCGCCACCGGGTACAGGCCTTTGGACGGCACTGTCCATCCCATGTGAGGCCTCTGTGGCTGGAGCACGAGGAACGACCCGGTGTGGCCCGACAGGTCGGCCCATTCACTCGTGTCGTCGGGGTTGCCCTCCCTGGCCGCTGCTGGGTTTGTGAACCAGAAGGGCACACAGAAGGTGGCAGGGGGGCGCGCCGGCGATGTGTGCGGGGCGACCAGGATCTGGCTGGCGGACATGATGGTCGCGTCGCGAATACCGTACTGACGGGCACGGAACGCCTGAAACCAACGAGCGACCCACCAGTGAGAGAGAGGGCAAGCGTATCGGTCTGTCTGTCTTTGTATGGTATGAGAGCACCTACCTTGAGGAGGTTGAAGCATCCGTTGGCGTACGCCATGTGTGTGAGTGTGAGTGCCTTGCACATCTGCCGACATCTCTGCGGGCCGGACGCCACCTCGGGGTGGTGCTTGCGGTACTTGTGCAGCACCTCACTGGTGTACCGCTCACACGCGAAGCGACCCCACACGGCCGCGTCAGCCTCCCGCACACCACGCAAAAGTGCGCGCGATGTCAGCTCCAGCGGCCGCGACTCGCGGGGATGAGCTATGACCAGCTCGGCAACCAGGACGGCCACCCTCGGCTCGGGGAAGACCGCACACCGCGACGCTCCTTCGTCAGCAGGCAGTGATGGTGGTCCCTCGTGGCAGCTCTCCCTCTCCTCGGCCTTGGCGACCCCATCAGAGCCGCTCGTGTGGCGGCGGCTGTCAGAGGCCTCCTTGGTGTGTCGACGGAAGAGCGACAGAGGCAGACTGCGCTTGCGCTGGACGGGATGGTGGTGTTGCTGCTGGGATTGGTTGTGGCCCGTGCAGTCGACGTCCGTTGCGCTGTGTTTGAGGCCGCCTCGCCTCCTGTGCAGCCAGCGGAAGTGGGTCTGCATCTTGGGCAGCGACACAGCCGGCCTCTCACTCATCCTGCCTGCAACCACACAAACACCAGTCACTGGGACACCACTGTGCTTTGCTTCATCTCGGCCGTCAGCTTGCATACCTTCAACGATAATGGTGCGGGCGAAAAAATGCCCCTCAGCTCGCCAGCGATACCCTAACCCCAGAAACCCTAAAGCCTGGACCACGGCCTTTCTCTCCACTCTTCCTTCCTTTGGTCCGTCCGGGCTGCACAGGGGAGGCCTGGGGGGGCTGTGTGTGGCAGTGGGTTGTGGGAGTGGTGATGCAGCGCGGCGGCTCGCTGATCTCGGTCCTTTCCCGACGACCATCTGCAGTGCTGCTGAGGCCTCCTTACGCGCTGCACTTCGGCACTGACGCACTGCCCAAGATCACGTTCGTCAAGAAGATTTATCAAGACGGCTCGACCTGCCAGAAGTGCGCATTTGTCGAAACCCAAATGAGTAAGCTACTTGACGTTCATCACCTGGTACGGGCTTGTCTGTCTGTCTGTCTGTCTGCTGTGTGTTCGCAGCCAAGGATGGTGTGAGGGACAAGATCGCCCGCACTGTGGTAGCCGATGAGAGGGATGAGTCATCAGGTCTGTGTGTCTGCGTATGGGTGATTCGCTTCTCGGTGCATCTGTGGTCTGTTGCCTCCCACTTGTGCGTATGTGCGTGTGCGCTCAGAAGGGATGGTTCTGGCCAAAAAGCATAACGTTTCCAAGGTGAGACGACGGCCAGGCTCACAACAGACGGACAATGGGGGTCTGCGTGTGTGTACGACTGAGTGTTCAGGCGCCTTTTTTTGTGGTCGAGGATGGCTCGAAGGTGTCCGTGTATGAGGTCTACTTCACGCTGAAGAAGGAGGTGCTGGGCGAGCAGACATCGAGCGCATCGAAGAGCGAAGAGATTGCACGTGACTTCCTCAAGATGTGACGCATTCGTGCACAACTTACTGGCAGACGTGTGTATGGATGTACAGTGGATGACTGCCAAGGTGACGATGTTTTATGATCGACATCATGACTTGAGGTGTTCATCATTCATTCTCCAGCTATCTATAGAGAGGCTTTGTGTGTATCATATGCATGTGCTTTGTTGACATCAGACACCCTGACATTCAATCAGCGAAGTGTTTCATGATTGGAGGCAAACCATACATACGTGAGTGACATCACTATGAGCCACGCTAAGCCCAACTGACTTCATTCATTGAGCAACTCCACCCAGACCTCTCCCTCCCTCCCTCCCACCCCTGCACTGCACACACATACATTCATATGGCGAATCATCCGTCCGCTTCATTTACAGGCACGGCCCCTGACACATCCCCGCCCTCACCACCCATTTCCCTCTCCACATCGTCAGACTCGACGGCCATAACACCGCCATTCTTGTGATTATCAGGTGCTGCTTCCTCGTGTGGCTGGCCGTTTGCTTCCTGCGTTAGCCCGCTACTTGATGTCAGGGATGCCTCAAGAAACTCTGCAGGCAGTGTTTGCGGCGAGTCACTTGGTGGTGTCTCGCCTGTCGTTCGCCCACCTCTCCTCGCAGCGACGATAAGGTCCTTTGGCAGTCTGCGTGGGGCGAACCGTGGGCAGCACTGGTCGATGCACCGCATCAGCTGCCTGCTCACAAACGTGTGGCCCCTCTCGTTCAGATGGCAGCCGTCTGCATACAGCCCCTGCACACACGTGTACAGGTGAGAGATGACGAGACACCGTATACACTTCTTTGTCTATGCACACACGTACGTTCCAGTCTCGTGGGAAGGGCAAGAGGAGGTCGAGGGTTGCCGAGATCCCCTGCAGGAAGCCCACCCTGCCCGAATCCCACACACAACGCCCTTTGCCAGCATCCCGCTCTGCGGGGTCCGTCCCAGGCTCACCTGAGTGCTGCCTTTGTGTACAGAGACGTCTGCTCATACCTGCGGAGGGAATGTGAAGGAAGGACAGCAGCCCATCCAACATGCATGTATCAATCTCTCTCTCTCTCTCTCTCTCTCTGTGTGTGTGTGTGTGTGTGTGTGCGCCTTACCGACCCAACAAATCTAAAACCACCGCCCTGCACGCAGGTGCCCTCTCTGCAGGCCTTCTTCCACCCACTCCTGTCGATGGGCGATGGGGCGATAAGGATGATGGAGCAACCAGGGAACTCCCCCTTCAACCGCCGTATGATAGCCGTCAGGTTGCCCTCATACGTCGGGACGTCCAGCACACAGCGGCCGTCCTCTGCACACACAGAGACACATAGAGGAGAGAGAAGGAACAGAGGAGACAGGAGGTGATGCATCTGAGTTGATGATTGTGTCTATCGTTCTGACCAGCAGCCAGCAGCTCCGCCGCCTGGAACCACATGATAAACAGCTGCACGCATGCATGGAGGGACATCAAGCTTAAGGATGTGAACAAGTGCAGTGCTTCTATAGCCCAATCGTGCAGTTTGCTGTTAACTGCCAATTCCCTACCATCATGGATCTGTCCATGAGCTGGGGTATAGACTCAATGAATCTGTCCATGTGCTCGAGCAGCAGTGTCGTGCCGACGCCAAAGGGGTAGCCCCTGAATGTAATCCATGAGCACCGTTGACAACATAACAATCACTTATGTATGGGTAAAAATGAGACCCCCGTGCCTTCCCTCATTCAAGTGTGCTTCTCACCTGTGCAGGACGTCTGCTTTCCCCTTGAAGGCGGCTGCCAGGTGGCCAGTGAATCCATCCGGGTAGCTCTCGTGCACCACGGAGTCCTGAAATGCACAGACAAGGATGCTTATTGCAGCCAAATTGCAGCCGTGCTGTTATATATATGCTCTATATGCTCTATATTGCAGCCGTGCTCTTTCTGTCCTGAATGAAGAGTCCGACTCACCCCAACGAGAACAACCATTGGTCTCGCCATGTCTGCTTTACATTTCCTTCGGACTCCGTGAAACGATCACTGAGGGAGAAATAGGCCCCCCCGGGTTCTAAGGAAGGGGAGGATCTTGAAGGCCTTGAGGCTCTCGACCACTCCCTCCCGTCCCGAAATTCAACCATCGACCACCCCCGAATCATCACCTCTCGTCATCCCACCGCAACGTTGAAGCGAGCGTTGAAGTTGATGGCGTAAGGCCGCCCCCCGACCTCATGATGCCCATCAAGGACGAAAAGGACCTGCCCCCACCCCTGGAGGGCAAGTCGCAGCCGAGCAGCCCGTACGGCAGTCCGCTGCGGCCGTGCAACCGGGAGAGCGAGGGCGGCAAGAGCGGTAGCAGCGGGGGGTCGCAGAGGGGCTCACAGGGCGGGGCGTACGAGGAGCGCCCGCCGCCCAAGGGAGCGACGGGCCACCGAATCGTGGAGACCATCCCCCTTAATGAGGACCTCTTCCCGCCGGGTGAGACAGCAGACACAGACCAGGGGGACAGGGGGACGAAGGGAGGGTCGCTGGATGGATGGACGGACGGACGGATATCACTATGTGGCCTGTGCCTTGGTTGTTGTTGGCTTGCCGTGTGTGGTGGTGCTTTGCAGGTCTGAACATTGTTGGTTCTGTGTTGGGGTATCGGGGGTCCAACCAGCGCAACTTCGAGCGCAAGAGTGGCGCCATAGTCTACCTAAGGGGTGCGATGCAAACACGCACCCAATGGAGACGCGACTGGCTGTGTGGGCCTACTTTTGTGTTTTGCAATGGATGTCGCTATGCAGGTGGGGGCATTTCGGGCACCCGAGTGGACGACAGAGGCAAAGAGCTGGAGCCACTGCACCTAGGTGGGTACTCGCCGCCGATATACATGCCTATCAACATCCACTGCACTGTGTGTGTGGAGTGGTGTGGTGTGGTGTGGTATGGTTAATGTCTGGCTGCAGTTGTCAAGTGCGACCGTTTGGATCAGGTGGACGTGGTGCGTCAGGAGCTGGACGCGTTGCTGGACGGCTTCTACGCCGACCGCAACATGGAGCGGCCGCCCCACAAGCGGCTGACCAACCAGCCCGCGCGCGCCGTGCGATCGCCGCCCCCGCCCACCGTGCAGCATTTCCTCTTCAACCTCCACAACCTGTGCCACGCCAAAGGGGACGTCCACAAGGGGTTTGCCGTGCCGGTGCGGGGCCTGCCGGAGGTGTATGGGGGATACTTCCGACACGAATTCCCCATTCACATCTTCCTCAGAGTTGAACCACCCAACAACGTCGCTGGTGAGTACACACAGAGGGAGAGAGAGGGAGGGAGAGAGAGGGAGGGAGGGAGAGGGGGCACATACATGCCAACAAGCGAGACACCTCTTCCTGTGGCCTTCTTGCCCTTCAGCATCTCTGGAGCGTTTGCCGCACGTCGTTCATTTGTTTGAGGACAACAAGTACCACACATGACACATACTGGCACACACACAATCCCGCCCGGCCAACTGTCGCCTCTGTTTTCTTGTTGTGTGTGTGTTGCAGTGGGGGTGTGATGATGGGCCCGGTCCATCCACCGACCATATCGTTTGCCGAATTTTGCGCCATAGACGAGAAGTACCGCGCCGACCTGCAGGCGGGCATCATCCCTCCCCGCTCGCCCACCGTCACGAATGCCGTCCCCTTCGCCCCGCCATCCCCATCGCACCCCCACCCGCCCCTCCCCATCCACACACACAACATGGCATCGCCACCGCATCCCGGCGTCATGCCACCCGTACACCCGTCGGCCACGGGGTACGGCTACCCCATACCCGCACACGCCCACCAGCCGCCCCCTCCACCCATGCAGCACACACACAATGGCGCCTACCCCCCGCCCCCACCCCCTCCGCCCAACCACTTCGCGCCACTGCCATTCGCACCGCACATGTCGCCCTTCACCCACGAAGTGGCGGCTCACCATACGGCGTTCCGTGCGTCGCCCCCTCCGGGGCTGAGCCCTCCCACCATGAAGCGTGGGCCGCCATCCGAGAGTGGCAGTGGGGCTGAGGTCGACGGGTGTGGGGTTGTGGTGGGTGGGGGTGAGTATCACGGGCCACCGGGGGCCAAGCGGTATAGGGGAGGGCTGGGTGGCATGGGGGGCGGGCCGCCCGCACTCAGGGACCTGCTCATGCAGATACACCGGTCAGTGAGACAGACAGGCAGGCAGGCAGGCAAGGAGACGGATGCGGTGCGACGTGATGTGATTGATGCGGTGTTGTGTGGTTGTGTGTGCAGTTTGTTGATGCACTTTGGAGGTCCTGACGGCCCCGGAGTAGCGATGGTAGCACTGCCGTGTTTGTACCAGGAGCGGTTTGGCATGCCACTCGACCTGTCGGTGTCGGGCGAGCCCTCCCTACTCAGCCTACTCACCAGATTCCCAAAGGTACGCCTACATGGACAGGACAGCTGGACACACGGATGCACACAGAGCAGACACGGGCTTCTGCACGAGGCACACGCATGGGGGATAGATGGCTGCCTTTTCCGGCCAGTCGGTCGATGTATACTGAGAGCTTTTTAGTCGAGTCTTATCATATTCATTGCGACGCCTTGCAAGAGCTTTTATCTGTCTGTGTCTCTGTCTACCCTTTCGGACCTTTATTCATCACGCGCTCTGTATGTAGAGTCGGTAGAAGTTAGCAGCCTTCCTTTGCGGATGTGTCCTCGACTGTGAGTGGGCCCTTTATTCATTCGTCCATTAGCACTCTGTGTCCATACAATGGGTCTCTCGACTTGCATGCTGTTTGTTCCGTCTACCTACTTAAGGATCAAATCGGTCGATTGGTGAAGCTTTCGGACTGGCTGCGCGTGTCTGACTGACCGGCTTGACAAGTCAGATGAGGCCCCTTAGTACTATGTCCCTCCCTCCCTTCGTTGTGTCTCTCGAATGCAGTGAGTGAGTGGGTGAGTGAGTGAGTGGGTGTTTTGAGTGTCATGTGTCTATCTAGATAGACCTGCCTACCCTACCTGTCCACGGCAGAATGACTGACCCACGAATGACTGGCCGACTGGGATGTGTGTGTACATGTACGTATGCGCGTGGAGTGTCTGTGCCCGCAACCCGGAGCGCACGAGTCACTCCCATAGGTTGGCGTTTTCGAGAGAAAGGCTCGCATGTGTGGATGGATGGATGGACTCGACTGGATGGACGTATTTGTGTGCACAAGACGGGTGGTTCACTCACGCGCACACCCCCCACCGACCGACCGACTGTGTGTATACTATATATGGCAACTGCATATCTTGACATTTTTGTCCCTCGTGGGTTGATTGAATGCCGCCCCTGCCTGATTGACGTGGATGGGTATGTGTTTGTGTGGGTGCGGCGCGAGATGGAAAGGAAGAGACTCGACTGATGGAGGGAGGCAACTCGACTCACTGCCAGCCAACCGATAGAAGCTTTATGGCTGCACACGTATGTAGCTAGCTAAGCAGCAAGAGGCCTGACAAGCTGACAGCTAGCCAGGCAGGCAGGCAGGCAGGCAAGCCGGGAGATGGATGGATGGATGGATGGGTGCACCCCACCACTTAGAAGTAGATAGATGCATACATACCAGACCTTGTGCCTCTCTGTCTGCTGCCTGTCTCAGCCATGGACGTGTTATTGCCTTGTATGTGTTGTGTTCAGGTAGTGTCTCTGTGCGAGGGTGCCGAGGGCGGTCTGTGTGTGCGCCCCTGCCGCGCCCCGCAGTTCCCCGACAGCCAGCCGTCCTCATCGCTCACGGCCACCCACACCAGCAGCCCCCAGCAGGCCCAGCTGGAGGCTCTCCTCAAACACATCGCCACCGCCAAGGCCGCCCAGGGTGGTGTGGGTGTGGGGGCGGCCTCGCCACTGGCACCAGGGGCCGATGAGGGTGTAGGGGTGGGGGCCCTGCTGTCGGCCGCCGAGATGCTGTTCAAGCTCTCTGGCCATCAGCGGCAGGGCGGGAATCCGTCGGCCAAGCTAGAGGGGGCCACCACCAGCAGCAGCAGCAGCGGTGGTGAGGGGCAAGGCGGGCCAGGCGCGGGGTCGGGCACTACTGGGATTGGCAGCAGTGGGGGCGGTGTTGGCCCCCCCAAGAAGCACTCGTTTGGAGGCAACGAGGCGGTGGTGAAGCGTGAGAGGGAGAGGGAGAGGGATCAGCCGCGTGAGCCGATAGCGTTTCAGCGCGAGAGGAGCCGCGACCTCAAGGAGGTGCTCGCCATACTCAACCTACTCAAATGAATCATAGCGAACGACGGGTGCCGTGCGGTGCGGTGCGGTGGATGTATGCGTGGCGACCGATAGATGGATACAGTACATGGCTGGGTGAGGTGGCTGACAGAATGAATAACAATCGATAGATACGGGAGGGGCGCATGCCATGCCATCCACACACAGGCATGGCATGGCATGGCATGGGTGGGTGGGTGGGTGGGTGGAAAGGGGAGGGAGTGGGTAACCAGCTGCATGCATGGCAATGATAGACTGACTGACCGACCTCAGCAGTGTGTTGTGTTTGTGCATCGATTGGTTGAATGCATGTTGGTCACGCATCACGGTGCACGGGAAGTGCACTGCACTCACTTGAGCTCAACCACTGACTGCAAAACACTTGCAAATTGTCAGCATGCCATGCATCAATCGGGCACACGTACAGTACACGGTCATCAATTGGGGCTTATATATGGCTCTGATCACGTATATACCACGGCAGCGCCAACACGACAGATCGCTGACCCACCCCGCCGACCGTGGCCGGCCATAAATATGCACACTCACTCACTCACTGTACACGCAGCGCAGCCACCGCCAAGCCTGTAGGCTCTCTGTCTGTCAGGTGGCCCCACGCAAAAACCCTGCACACGACGAAAAATCCCTGCTGCTGCGTGCCGTGTAGTATCAACAACAACGCATCACATGATGGATGCATGCATCAGTTAGTCAATTGCTAATATCGACAAAGAGGGGTTTGGACGGCGTGAGCTCGTTGCCTTGTGTGTCGATGGGCACCACTTGCAGGTAGCAGCACTTGCCCAGGTCCACATCTCCCGCCATTTTCTGCAGCACCTTGATGTGCGGCACCTGCGCCATATGCTCGAACTGCGTCTTGGCGTGCTCGCCAAGACGCAGTTCGGTAGGAGGGTTGCTCGGACCTGCAATGCATCCATCCACAAATATTGCTGCATGTCTCCGCCTCTTGATCGATGGACGCGACAAAACATGGACCCACCTGCGAGAATTCTCCACCGGGCGATGCCACTCTGGCCGCTTTGGCTGTAATGGATTGCCCTCTCCCGGCCGTTGAGGACCAGGGCAGGGGGGGCTGGCGCCACACCATGGCCCCATGGCAGTTTGTAGGATCGGTAGGTCCACGAACGCCACGAGCCGTACGACAGCTCTAGCAACACTTGTCCGTCACGATTTAGCTCCTACAGACATACACAGACACAGACAGACACACACACAATGTCACGCCACACACACATCCATCCATCCATCCATCCGGCCAACCACTTGCCCGCCCCCACCTGGTAGAAGGGCAGCAGTCCATTGCTGCCCCATGCTGCGACGAAGGTGTCGACATTGCCGTCGGGCCCGGCTAAGGGTTGCAAGCCTCCCATGGCGTATGCAAAGGGTGCGATTGAGCCAGTGTCCGAGGGCGCGGGGAACTCCCAGGTGAGGACGGCCGTCTTGTCCTTCTCGAATATTTCGTATTCGACGAGCCGTGTGGTGAGACTATCCCGCCCATTGCCGTTGTCGAAGCAAGTCAGGAACATCTGCCCATCGTCAGACACCCGCACACGGGCGTCGTGAGGCCATGAGAACACGTGGGAGTCGTTGCCGAGGAAGGCGAACTGGTTGAATGTCTCCCTCCCGCCCATCTGCCACTCGATGCGGCTGGTGGGTCGGCTGAGTTTGATGAGTCCGACAGCCCTGAAGTTGACAAGGAGGTCTGAGCCCTCTTCACCGCCAATCCACTCGACGCTGTTAATGTGGGTCACTGTGCACAACCAAGACAACAGGGGCGGGAGGGGGGGGCGGGCAGACAGAGTATAGATGGATGCGTTCGTGTGTGCGTGTGTCTGTCTGTGTATGTGGCTGACCGTCCCAGGGTGTGTGACGCCTGAGCGACTCCCCCAGTGGCCTCTGGGTCTGGCGGAGTAAGTAAGGCAGCTCGAAATAGTCCCAGCTCCGGAACTGACCACACCACACGGACAGATAATTGTTATCCTGCGCCGTCCACTTGTGCGTGTCATTCATTCACTCACTCAGTCACTCACTTCGAAGACGACGTTGCCGTGTGGGTCAAGCTCTTGGACAATGGCGCCCACGAGTTTCATTTTGACGGGTCCAGTCCCCTCTGCGGGTGTCTTGTGGGGCGGCAGGTAGTCCTGGTCGATGCGCACTGTCTGGGTGTCGTACGCCCTGCACACACACACACAAAGGATTACAGGTCGTTTGGCGCCGGGGTACGGTACATCACGTCTGACTGCTTTCTCTCGTCAGCCCACACACATGCATACATTTGAAGTGTCCAGCCTCTCTTGCTTAATCGAAAGTCGTGGTAGTCTGCGTGATATCTGCGCACGCAGGCAGGCAGGGCAGGGCAATTTGTTTCGTATGTAGCCGCCTGTGTGGGTCATGGCCAG